GTCATTATTGCTTTTTGAAAATCAATACCATGTTAACTAATAGAGCATTTGTTCAAGCTCAAATTAGAATATTTATTCATTCCCGTTCAGAAAAATAACAATATAACCCCTAAACAGTTAGGCTATAGATAATTACATTCATAGTAAAGGGGGTGAATAGATCTGCCGAGATCTGGGCACAATCTCGGAAATGAAATATCGAAATATCATCAAAGTTAATCCCATACTTAGTAGTGTTATAGGTAAATAACATGCGGGAATATAATTGATATCTGAGTTGAGCGGGAGATATACAAGGGTAATGTACTGGGAGGTTTTGGATACAGGTTTTATCCCAAGGGAAATATGTGTATATCCCGACGGACCGCAGGGACCAAGGGATATACACATATTTCCCGAGGGATAAACCCTGTATCCAAAACCGACCGTACATAACAGATGTATTTCATACCTACTGATGTTCTTGGTACGTCATATACCTTATAAAGTTCCAAAATTCAAAAATATACTTAAGATACACATTTTCTTGGTGTTTTAAAGTGGTTTTTAAGTTTCTGAGATTATCAAACTCATAAATGTGAAAATCTTTTTTTTTAAAATGTGAAAAAAAATTTGGGGAAAAATGGGAAATTTCAATGCATATTTAATTCTCATAATCTACTAAGTATAGGATAAATCAGTTATTAAATGCTCGATTTTTGATACAGTGTATATCCCTCAGTAAATACAATATAGTCACGATTTATTAGTTAAAATATGCCTAATTCAATTTTAAGACAAGCCAGAACGGCAAATCTCCCCTGCCCCTTAACCGTTTAGGGGTTAATAAAATACTCAATTAAACTTATTAACGATAGGATAGATTTTTGATAGATGACATACGAGACTGTAATTATATTTAAGTTCAATTCTGTGTGTCAATATTCTCTATTTGGATGCTCAAAAAAGTTCTTGTGTATTAACTCATTAATTATTGGAAAAACAATATACATTTGTTAATAAGTCAAAGCATAAGTTAGTTGTGTTTTACCTTCACATGTGAAAATGTTAGGCTTAGTGTGTTATATATAATTTTACTGAACATCGGTGTCTACATCTTCCTGTACAGGAACTTTAAATTATGTTCATGTAATGATTCATTTAACTGGACGTTAGTCATTACTATCACTATATCTTGTTGATGGCATAATTAAGGTTACTAGAACATTCCTTGCATGTGTTGTCCTAACTTGATGTAACCAGAAGTTATGAATTTGCCATGTATGTGACAAGCACGTTACAGTCTCTTTATTTTGGCAAAGTCGTTGTTAAGGTTGGTACTACATTCCTGGCTCGTGATATCTAAGTCGAACGTAACTTGTATACTCATTTATGCGTGTCCACACTTTCCTTTGCCTACAACGTTCTATAGTTAATGTTACCAGAACTTTAACTTGGCCACGTATATGTGACGTTGCATTAGCACGTTACAGTCTGTTATTTTATTTTTGCAGTCATTGTAAGGTTGCTACTACATTCCTAGCACATGATATTTAAGTAAAATGTAACGTTGTATAAACATCTGTGCGAGTCCAGACCTTCCTGTGCCTACATCGGTCCAAGACAAACGTTACCAGAACTTTAAACTGGCCAGGTATATTTCGTTATTTTTGCGAAGTTATCGTTTAGGTTGGTTCTACGTTCCTGGCACGTGATATTTAAGTCAAATGTAACGTTCTTTGAACATCTGTGCGAGTCCACAACTTCCTGTACCTACAACGTTCCATAATTAACGTATCAGAAATTTAGATTGGCCACGTATTTATGACGTAATGTAAGTACGTTACATTTTCGTTATTTTGGCGAAGTCATCGTCTAGGTTGGTTCCACGTTCCTGGCACGTGATATTTAAGTCAAATGTAACGTTCTTTAAACATCTGTGCGAGTCCACACCTTCCTGTACCTACAACGTTCCATATCAACGTTACCAGAAATTTAGATTGGCCACGTATATATGACGTAATGTGAGTACGTTACATTTTCGTTATTTTGGTGACGTAATTGTTAAGGTCGCTACTACGTTCCTGACACGTGATATTTAAGTCAAATGTAACGTTCTTTAAACATCTATGCGAGTCCACACCTTCCTGTACCTACAACGTTCCATATCAACGTTACCAGAAATTTAGATTGGCCACGTATATATGACGTAATGTAAGTACGTTACAGTTTCGTTATTTTGGCGACGTAATTGTTAAGGTCGCTACTACGTTCCTGACACGTGATATTTAAGTCAAATGTAACGTTCTTTAAACATCTGTGCGAGTCCACACCTTCCTGTACCTACAACGTTCCATATCAACGTTACCAGAAATTTAGATTGGCCACGTATTTATGACGTAATGTAAGTACGTTACATTTTCGTTATTTTGGCGAAGTCATCGTTTAGGTTGGTTCTACGTTCCTGGCACGTGATATTTAAGTCAAATGTAACGTTCTTTAAACATCTGTGCGAGTCCACACCTTCCTGTACCTACAACGTTCCATATCAACGTTACCAGAAATTTAGATTGGCCACGTATATATGACGTAATGTAAGTACGTTACAGTTTCGTTATTTTGGCGACGTTATTGTTAAGGTCGCTACTACGTTCCTGACACGTGATATTTAAGTCAAATGTAACGTTCTTTAAACATCTGTGCGAGTCCACACCTTCCTGTACCTACAACGTTCCATATCAACGTTACCGGAAATTTAGATTGGCCACGTATTTATGACGTAATGTAAGTACGTTACATTTTCGTTATTTTGGTGACGTAATTGTTAAGGTCGCTACTACGTTCCTGACACGTGATATTTAAGTCAAATGTAACGTTCTTTAAACATCTATGCGAGTCCACACCTTCCTGTACCTACAACGTTCCATATCAACGTTACCAGAAATTTAGATTGGCCACGTATATATGACGTAATGTAAGTACGTTACAGTTTCGTTATTTTGGCGACGTAATTGTTAAGGTCGCTACTACGTTCCTGACACGTGATATTTAAGTCAAATGTAACGTTCTTTAAACATCTATGCGAGTCCACACCTTCCTGTACCTACAACGTTCCATATCAACGTTACCAGAAATTTAGATTGGCCACGTATATATGACGTAATGTAAGTACGTTACAGTTTCGTTATTTTGGCGACGTAATTGTTAAGGTCGCTACTACGTTCCTGACACGTGATATTTAAGTCAAATGTAACGTTCTTTAAACATCTGTGCGAGTCCACACCTTCCTGTACCTACAACGTTCCATATCAACGTTACCAGAAATTTAGATTGGCCACGTATTTATGACGTAATGTAAGTACGTTACATTTTCGTTATTTTGGCGAAGTCATCGTTTAGGTTGGTTCTACGTTCCTGGCACGTGATATTTAAGTCAAATGTAACGTTCTTTAAACATCTGTGCGAGTCCACACCTTCCTGTACCTACAACGTTCCATATCAACGTTACCAGAAATTTAGATTGGCCACGTATATATGACGTAATGTAAGTACGTTACAGTTTCGTTATTTTGGCGACGTAATTGTTAAGGTCGCTACTACGTTCCTGACACGTGATATTTAAGTCAAATGTAACGTTCTTTAAACATCTATGCGAGTCCACACCTTCCTGTACCTACAACGTTCCATATCAACGTTACCAGAAATTTAGATTGGCCACGTATATATGACGTAATGTAAGTACGTTACAGTTTCGTTATTTTGGCAACGTTATTGTTAAGGTCGCTACTACGTTCCTGACACGTGATATGTAAGTCAAATGTAACGTTCTTTAAACATCTGTGCGAGTCCACACCTTCCTGTACCTACAACGTTCCATATCAACGTTACCAGAAATTTAGATTGGCCACGTATTTATGACGTAATGTAAGTACGTTACATTTTCGTTATTTTGGTGACGTAATTGTTAAGGTCGCTACTACGTTCCTGATACGTGATATTTAAGTCAAATGTAACGTTCTTTAAACATCTATGCGAGTCCACACCTTCCTGTACCTACAACGTTCCATATCAACGTTACCAGAAATTTAGATTGGCCACGTATATATGACGTAATGTAAGTACGTTACAGTTTCGTTATTTTGGCAACGTTATTGTTAAGGTCGCTACTACGTTCCTGACACGTGATATGTAAGTCAAATGTAACGTTCTTTAAACATCTGTGCGAGTCCACACCTTCCTGTACCTACAACGTTCCATATCAACGTTACCAGAAATTTAGATTGGCCACGTATTTATGACGTAATGTAAGTACGTTACATTTCGTTATTTTGGTGACGTAATTGTTAAGGTCGCTACTACGTTCCTGACACGTGATATTTAAGTCAAATGTAACGTTCTTTAAACATCTATGCGAGTCCACACCTTCCTGTACCTACAACGTTCCATATCAACGTTACCAGAAATTTAGATTGGCCACGTATATATGACGTAATGTAAGTACGTTACAGTTTCGTTATTTTGGCGACGTAATTGTTAAGGTCGCTACTACGTTCCTGACACGTGATATTTAAGTCAAATGTAACGTTCTTTAAACATCTGTGCGAGTCCACACCTTCCTGTACCTACAACGTTCCATATTTAACGTTGCTACAACTTGAGACATATATTCTGACGACGTTATCACAACGTAAAATTGTTAGCTGGGTATAAATACAAAAGGACGTGATCAGCTCTGAAATGTGAATTCGGGGAGATATTCAAGTCGGGATTGGGAAAAAATGTTCACATTTAGAGGTATTTACTAATTAAGATAAACATGTACGCAGGGTTTACTGTACAAAATGTTTGTTTTTTGACATCATCTCTCCGACTTCCAACAAAGTATCCCATTAAACAAAGTATAACATTGTAAAGCCCTTGGTAGCTGATTCATATTGCACGGATCATAGGATGGGACAATACTCTCGAGACACCCTCTCTTCACACCAGAAAAGAGTCACATTATCGTATGATATTTGTAGCTACTGCCGCAGTTTTTAAAGCGGCCTCTGATGCCGGAGTCGCAACAGTAACGTTAGAAGTTGATGACGTCATTGGTCAGGGTAATGACGTTGTGTCAGAGAGAAGTAGATTTACCATGAAGACGGCAGAGGGCGCCATTGCTGATGAAGGAAAGTATGTAAAAGATAGAATATATCCAATCGGCAGTTTAAATTATAGTATCGTAGTTGTTTAGAATAAGCGCAGTGCGTAGGATTTTGCAACGGTCTATAAGAGTGACTCGAGTAACATTTTATCATTTTAAATCATCGCTGACAATTTCGTAAGTATTTTTGTGTATTTTTCAGGTTTATTGTCGTTTGGAAGAGGATAAATGGACAGTTGTACTTACACTGGGACTGCTTCAACTCGAACAAAAAATAACTTTTTATTGAAATCAAAGATATGACCTAATAAATTTGAAAATTTTAGTAATACTGACGTACAAATTATTTGCAGCCTGTGTGCTTTGACAAAACAAGTCCGAAGCTGTAAACGTTTACACGAAATGTAACCATTAACTTAGAAGTGTAAACTCGCATTTAAAAAATTATCAATGTGTGATGATAGAATAAAACATTATTTGTATAAAATAATTTTAATGAGGAAAAGGCTTACACGATAAGTGTTCTTCTCAATATTTTATCACTTATGTGTACAAGGGGGTGGGGGTCATTCCCCGGTACATTCTGTCATGAAAAAAAATTCTGCAAAAATCGATCACGTTTAATTATTACCCTTTTCTGACTAACAAAATGATGTTTTAATTGAAAAAGCAAAATATACATAAAAGTCTTCCCCTATGCTACTTGACCATATGCTACTTATTATCCCATCGAACGAAGTTCGGAGGGATATAGGGAACGCCTCCGTCCGTCCGTCCGTCCGTCCGTCCGTCCGTACGTACGTCCGTACGTACGTCCGTCCGTCCATCCGTCCGTCCGTCCGGGCAATAACTCAAATACCATTACCCCGATTATGTTCATATTTTGTACACATATACCCTATGGGGGTAGAAGTTCTGCTCGAAAGCCGATTTTCAAAATGGCCGCTCATTTCAAAATGGCGGCCATTTTAGTGCCGATTTTACAGTAATTTAGGTGCAATATGTAAAACTGTAATAGCAATATGTTTTAAATGTAAAAAAATTATAAAGGACATTAATAATGCTACAAATGTAGATATTAAAGAAGCACATGGCAGCCATCCTGAAAAATGGCGGCCTTTACTCGTCATTTTACGATTTTTGCTGTAACTCAAAAAATAGTGGAGCGATTTTGTTCATATTTGGTATGTGAATACTATAAGCATTGCACACTGTCTAAAGACACTTTTGGTAGAAGGCGGCCATTTTGAAAAAAAATTTGAAAAATGGCCGCCATTTTAACGTATTTTACTATAAATCGAAAAGTAGTGGAGCGATTTTGTTCATATTTTATGTATGTGAATACTATAAGCATGGCACACTGTCCTATGACACTTTTGGTAGAAGGCGGCCATTTTGAAAAAAATTTTGAAAAATGGCCGCCATTTTAACGTATTTTGCTATAACTCGAAAAGTAGTGGAGCGATTTTACAGTAATTTAGGTGCAATATGTAAAACTGTAATAGCAATATGTTTTAAATGTAAAAAAATTATAAAGGACATTAATAATGCTACAAATGTAGATATTAAAGAAGCACATGGCAGCCATCTTGAAAAATGGCGGCCTTTACTCGTCATTTTACGATTTTTGCTGTAACTCAAAAAATAGTGGAGCGATTTTGTTCATATTTGGTATGTGAATACTATAAGTATGGCACACTGTCCTATGACACTTTTGGTAGAAGGTGGCCATTTTGAAATTTTTTTTGAAAAATGGCCGCCATTCTAACATATTTTACTATAATAACCTGAAAAGTAGTAGAGCAATTTTGTTCATATTTGGTATGTGAATACTATAAGCATGGCACACTGTCTATTTCTAATGACACTTTTGGTAGAAGGTGGCCATTTTTCACGCCATTTTAACGTATTTTACTATAACTCGAAAAGTAGTGGAGCGATTTTGTTCATATTTGATATGTGAATGCTTTAAGCATGGCACATTGTCTAATAAAACTTTTGGGAGTAGTCGGCCATTTCGAAAAATGGCCACCATTTTTATGTGTGTTATTTTACAAGTACGTGTATGATTTTTCAAAAATTTTAGAGGTGGCTACTTAAAAGCATATTATTTCTTCTGATGACAACTTGGCTAGTGAGCAACCATTTTGAAAATGGTGGCCTTTCTGGTGTGTTGTTTTATGATATTTGATATTCGTTTGTAAAAATGCCAGCCATTTCTGTTCGATGGGATTCGCTACGCTTTGGCGTTGCCGTTGTTCTGGTTTGACCTAGTTTTTGAGATTTTGATACACCTTCCTCGAGAGTTTTCAATGGGGTGTCGACTTTTGGCAAGCAACCGAAGATACCTGAAGAAAAGCCGGAGATTGCCGAAGATTGCCTAAGCTTTTCTTTGCAAATGAAAGGACGATTTTCGGTTTGGAGAACGAAGTTCATCAATCTAAGTGAGCATTATCCCTGCTTCGGACAAATTTGATATTTTTACATAATATAGATTTGAATGTCTTCTTTTGAATAGTCATAATTTAATTTGGGTAATATTTCTAGATTTTTCGCAAAAAAAATATTAGCGCAGTACACTGATGAACTTCTTTCCCCAAATAGAGACTTGTATTTTATTGAATCGGTCTAATTGAGTGTTATCCCTGCTTCAGACCAATTTGTTATTTTTACATCTTGTAGATTTAAATGTCCTCTTTTGAATATTCATAGTTTAATTTGGGTAATATTTCTATATTTTTCATGAAAAAAATTATAATCCCAGGAGACTGTTCTCCAAACCGAGAATCGTCCTTTGCTGAGGGTACCACGAATGTGAAGAGGACGTCTCTAATTGGTCAATAATAGGGGCTCGGCATTCTCCGTCAGATTGAATCGGCAAAATTCGGTTGTATGGCTTACCTTCGGTTGTATGGCTGCATGGCCCAACCTCGATTGATTGGAAAAGATGCTGTCCCTTTTTCAATGATCTATTATATGACACCTGAGCTTCTACTGTACCTCTTCAACTCTGGTGGTGTTATAAAAATACGTTGTAAACTGAATTTAAGCGTAAATGAAGTCATTTGAAGAAGGATGATTCAGCTATTGAGTCTCAGAGAAAATATTTTCCGCATATGGCCGACAAAGATGGCAGCAGCAGTAGTTACAGATTGCTTGGTCTGCCCTCTTTATTTAAGTTATTTCTTGCGCTCTATGATCTGATGATTGTCCTTATCTAGTATGTGGCGTAAATTGCCAATTTATGCCTATGTCAGATTTGCTCCGATTCATCGACCGGCAGTGACCGGCGCCCAGCCGATTGCAGTATTTTGTTCAAAACTGATTTCAAATTGACCAAACATTTTTTCAAATTATGTAAAAAAATTTCACATCTGACCTAAAATTTGAGATTCGACCCTTAAGTTTGAACAAAATACTCAATCGACCGGGCGCCTGCAGATGAAGCGGAGCAAATGTGACCAGGCAACATGAACTAATTAAAAATAATGGTAAAACGTGAATAATGTCACTTTACGGATTTTTCAAAACAACTTAGTTTACCTTATGCCTGACACTGTAAGATGACATCATTTTTGATAGGGGGCATGATTTATCGGACCATCTGTGGAATAAACAGTTTTTACATTTCAAAGCCTCAAAGTGTAATTTATATTGAAATCGTCATTTACTCTCAGTAGGCTTACACGTAGATATAAAAACAAATATAAAGCAATATATGAATCCATATGTTATATTGATGTATAGTCAAGAATGATCCTTATTGTTTAAGAAAGAGATAACTCTATCACTCTCAAAACAAAGCACGACGCAAAGTTAAAATCACTGATTTATCAAATACTAATCTACTTGAAAACTCAAAAATTAGAAGGCGCGTCGTGATCTTCGAAAGTCATTTATGTCACTTATAGATACCAAAAAACATTAATTGGTCTTCAAAACCCAACAGTGTCAAACTGGTTATTGTTTTATCTGCCAAAAACTAAGAACTTTGTAATATTTCACAATTACAAAATCAAATCTGGGGGAGTTTTGTTTCAATAGAACGTTTTTTAAACACAAATGGAGGTGGAATCGTTTCTTTAATTTTTATCAACTATACGGATATGATCTGATTCTACAATGCAACAGTTGATTATTTTACATTTTTTGCTATTTTGCACAGGTACGTTGATTTGTTTATATTCGTGTGATTTGTGGTTATATGTTCCAAAAAGACCAATAAAATGAATAAAAGGTTATCGACACGTTCGGTCCATAACACGAGGAACATAATACTAGGAATTAGAACTATGAAGCTTGTTTAAACATTAATGATTGTGACATTTCTATTGTTTAGTCCAACCAGATTTCTTAAATTTTGATAGTTCTTTCCTCTATAAAACCCCATTTTCCCAAAATTAACATTATTCCATTAGAACATCAATATGATCAATATAGTTTGTTTGATACGTTGGTTTTCATCATATCAATCTTTCCTAAATCTCAAGAGCGACCATTTGAAAAAGTTACAAACAAAATACGAACGATTGCTTTTTATGATTAAAGTATGGGCGCAGCCTCGCTGTCCGCAGGGCTGGGACATGAGAGCCGGGTTCTGCTATAAGTTCTCGGAGTCCAGTCTCCAGTGGGACGAGGCCAGAGCATTCTGCAAGGCACAAAAGGCAGACCTTGCCTCTGTTAGAGACATGGCGGAATATGTAAGTACATCACTTATTGTAGTCGAGTTAGTCGCTGAAAACGAATTTAATTTTGATATTGCGAAGATATGTAGAAATCAGGTGCAAAGTGTAGAATTCAAAAACTGCCGATCATCTTGTTTAATATGTTTGGAAATATGCCAGTTATTATATCAACACCAGAAATGCATATTACAAACACATATTACTCTACACGTAGTTTACAATTTTGTGGACAGTGTTCGCCATTCGACTGTCTGCGTTCGGTTTCTGTAACAAATGACAGATTGTGACATGTTGCATGTTAATTCCTTGTTCAAATATGTGTTGCATTGTCTCCGACATGTCCAAAAGATGTATACCTGCCCTATTTTCATTATAGGACTCATTTATAAGGTACCACTTTGAACCCCCCCCCCCCAACACCCACCCCTCTATTTACTATAAGGCATAGATACATTATGTTTAACATTTCTTTATTATGAATGTTTCCAACGCAGAACTGGTTGAAAGGTCAAGTAACGAAAGACCCAAGAAAAAATGAATATTGGTTGGGTATGACTGACAAGGAGAAAGAAGGTACCTGGAAATGGGTTGATGGCACTAAGTGGAGCACTGCAGTAGCGTAAGTTTGTATACCATGGTTGGAGCAACAATATGACATACCATAACCCTGGGTTACATTGTATATATATTTATAATTCATGTATATATTTCTCATTTTATAACTTTGTATACATCAGGTCATTTTACAACATTACAAAAAATGTTCTCTTTGAAAATTAATGTTTTCAAATATTTTTTTTTTTTATTTAGAAATAATTTTTGTTTTTCGAAATTTTATAAGTATTCTGCTTTTCTTGCCCTAAAATTCAACAAAGAAGTTTAAGTAGATAGTGCTCTTGACCACTGGAGACGTAACTTATAAGGTCGTTATTCACCTGTCAGGATGATTCACCAACGTTTGGACCCCCACTTTTCCCATAAAATGTAGGTCATCAAAGGTCAAATCGAGGTCAAAGTGACCTAGTATGTAGGAATGACAATTTTGTAAATTTTCTTTGAAATTGGTTATTTGATGCCAGAAATACTATATTTCCTTAAATATTGTATCATGTTTTCGAATAAAAACAAAAATCAAGGTTATATCTTTTTTAGAACTTGCTCTTTCAAAGATATGAGGTATCAGGATAACCATTTAAAATCAATGTAACACGTAATTGAAAAACAGACAATTTTAAATTCAATTTTTTCGTCTTCGACATTCATATTCCAAGATACACTGTGAACTGCAAATAACCATCGTTGTTTAATAGTATGGAAATATATAAATGTTTCACTTGACCGTGTTGTTCGGGCATGATTTTGCTCAATTATTTTGTCTAGCAGCTACATAGCAAACGAATACAAATCAAATTCGTGAAAAACTGGGGATAAGAGAGAATGACAAAAATTAAATCTAAAATTCAGAGAAGGTTATTATCGTGATTCTAATACTTAAGTTTGCATAAACATTCAGTAGTTTGCAAATTAATTCAAAGCTATTCATCATAGACTACGGCCCACTCTGATAATTGTAACTCCTTCCTTACATGAATGGTTACACATTCCAACCTATTTCAAACCATCTGTATGATGATACTAGACACTTTCTGGGTAGTCGGACTTTCTATAGGGGTGGCAGACGGCCCTCAGACCAATTTATACCCCTACCCCCAAAAAACCATGGGGGTACTTTAATACCACCCAATAAAAAGAATACCAATGCATGTCAGATATTCATTGTTTTATATTGGGTAGGGCATATTATGGTTAGTTAGTGCCAGAAATTTCCAATCTCTAACTTATATGGTTACCATAGAAACAGTATTTAAATCTCGAAATATTCTCAATTTGACCCCCTCCCAAATGTGTCCCTTTGTTCTCAAAGTGAAATATTTGCAAATCTGTTTGGATTTTATGGCTGCTACTTTGTCAAAAATTGTATCAATATGTATATTTTAACATTTAAACACCGAAAAGTGTTCATAATGATCCTATAAATCAATAATATTTATCAAATATAGTCACACATAGCTGCTTTTAGGGAAAAGTGGGCGTGGCACTTTTTGGTACGTGTGTACTCGTTGCAGCATTAAATGAAAAATACATATTATACTAACAACAATTGACATTTAATTAGCATCTACTTATGTTGTGTAACATTGTAATATGTTCATTATCATTATTAGACACTTTAAATATTTTATATAAGTGTTATCCTGACCCTTCCTTTTATCCCTACACCCTTCAAGGTGGGCATTACCAATCGTGTCAAGTTAACATTTCTGTTTGATTTATTTTTACCATAGACAAGGTTCAAAAGCTTTACCATGAGTACTGACCTTATTAGGTGCTAAACTGATGAATGGATAGGTAGATGGCAGCACTTGTGCTGGTTGGACTACACGCTAGCATCTACCATAGACACATATTAATTTACCATATTTGTTATTTTGGATTAAAGTAAAACTGCTTTCGCATCAAACTTAATGAGATTCAGATTGTGTTTGAAACTAGATAATCTTCAGATTTTGTGTGAACCTTAAATTCATGACAATCAAAAGAATTCAACATTTAGGAAGTCAACATTAAGATTTTTAACATCGTCTCAATGAGAATTTAGCACGACCTTTTTCAGAAAGTTAAAGATCATAGAAAATTGAACATAATCAAAGTTCCTCAGTAGAACATTTAATCTCCTAAAATCACATTAAAACTATATCAGCAATATTTCCAAGCTAAATAGTATAATAAAAACTTCTATCACATCATTTGCAACGTTTTCATTATTCAATAGTTCAACCCTATATGAATTCTTGATGATTTTAAAAGTGCAAGGAATCTAAATGAATCAGGGAAGCCAGTGATATGTATTTGCCTTATTAATTGTTGACTTATACAATGAAATAGACTTAGATGCAAGTAGAAATAATCTTGCTTTACATCATAAAAATTCAAAATTCAGTCAAATAAGTGATATCATATTTGAAATCTTCATGAAGAATTACATTTCTTCATGCAATAAGTTAACCTTTTAGTGAGTAGTTGTGACTAATGTAATCATGCACTTATATAATTTGTCAGTAAAAGTTATTTATCCTATACTTAGTGTTATAGGTAAATAAAATGCATGAATATAATTGATACCTTAGGTGAGTGGGGATATACATGTACTGCATATCCCGCTTTGTCCCATACTTGGTCGTGTTTCAGGTAAAAGCAGGTTTGTAAAAACTTATATTTTCATCAGCGGGCAGATATAGCTTTACGTTCTGTTGCGAGCGGGCAGATATAGTATATCTGCCCACTCCGTCATAATCGCCCTTTCGGGATAGTTCCAATATCCTGAACCTCATATAGGATAATCTCAATGTATCGCCAGGTTTATCACCCGCTCAGTAATCCCCTGCAGGAATTTCATTCTGTGCAATTTCTCATATTTTCGTATATTAGTATATGATAAATAGTTTTGGGTACAAGATATAACCCTTGGGAAATACAATATTCTACCCTCAACCCCGCGGGGAGGTATATTGTATTTCCCTCAGATATATTGTATTAATCCCTGTATTAAAAACTTCCCATTAATTAAACCTCATATATAATGCACACCATTTTAAATTTGAATCAAAACTATGAATTAGTGATATCCATGTTTCTAACGAAAGCATAAATTTGAAAGAAACAAACATTCTACTCATATGGTAAAAAGATATTACCAGTTGTGTCCATTTTAGATTTGATTGAAGAACTTCATTAGAGGCAATTTTGAAATTACAATATATTAAAAGAGGCTCTGTTGCTTAGATGGGAGAATCAATTAGCTGCATTGTTCAGTTTATGACAAAATTGATGTTTAGTGTTACTTTCATGAACACCCATCCTGTAAAATAGCATTTGGAATCTAGTAGTTTGTATATAGATGAATTAGATAAGGCATTGTCGAGGAAAAATATCTAACAAGATTACTAGTTTCCTCATGAAATTAGGCATACTTTAACTTGAAACAATTTGTAACACTCAATCTTTTGGGTTTGGAGATCGAAGTAATAATGATGAAAAACAAGCAATTTTAAAATATTTATGTTTTACCCAAATTTTTAAAGATTTTTGTTAGCCTTTGTTCGTCTGTTTTATTCTCAAATAAATCATGGTCATCAATTCTATTGTGACATAATCATCATTTACCAATTTTAAAATTAAATATTACTGGTTAGAGAATGTGATTTCTTACTTTAAGTTATATTTATATCCCGATTTATATGTATAATAATAATTGATGAAGACGAATAGAGATTATCCTCTATGAGGTTCAGGGTATTGGAATTATCCCGAGGCCAATATAATATATCTGGTCGAGGGTCGTAGGTCCCGAGGGAAGATATTTTCTATTGGCCAAAGGCCTTAGGTCCTGAGGGAAGATATATTATATTTGCCAAGGGATAATCCTTATAGCATGAACTGACTATAGGATTATCTGTTTATCCCATATCAATCTTTCTTATCTGGTTCACATTGTTCAATTGACCAGAGTTAGAAAGAATACAACCACATGAATGTATTCATGACTAATTTTGTTTTCTTGGCCTTAGGAGGATTCTCCTGTTTTTTAAGTATTCATCCACATATTCTCGTATCATTGATTATTAACATATGTATTAAGTATGCTACTTCCCTCATTGCTAATCATACACAAATGATGATTATGACTTAGTGGGCAGGTGTAATATATCTGCCCTCTCAGGCAGGGACATTAGCTATATCTGCCCGCTGATGAAAATATAAGTATTTATAAACCTGCTATATGTATCTGAAACATATCCAAGTATCATACACTAAACCGATTTGTTTAGGAATTATATGAAGTATTTCAAAAACATATACCGAACCACTATTGATGGAATCATTGAAAATACAGCATATCAGAAACATGTGTAAATTGTTTATCTTGCAATTATTTTGCTAAATACTAATAGAAATTATACTGTACCTTCCAGAGAATAGCTTTTTTGTTAACTATGAGCCAATGAATGAATGAATGCATTTTATTATAACTGCAAAATGATGCTCTATGCAATTCATACGAAAAATAAATTCCATATTCCATATTAGAATCAAGTATAATCTTTAATCCATTGGATAGATCATGCATTGCCTGATGTTGAGGTCTTGATAAAAGAATCAGCAAGTGTCTGACAAAATAGATTTTAGTGTTATGTATTAGGCAAAATATTAGGAAGGGTATAAATGGTCTCCAATCTTTCTAGTTTTAAGTATTACGTCTTCTTGCTTTGATTCAAATTATCCTCGGTCACTATTTGTAACCCCTCCCTCCTTCCTTATTTAAGCCATGGATATGAAGATGATTTAGAGGTTATGTGAAGGGTACTAGGGAAGGGTTAATAGCCAGGGTTAAATTAGTTCATTTAAGTTTAATCATAAATGTTATTCAATTCACACTAGCATCAAATATCATACCAAAAGGATTGAACTGTTCATTACTTTTCAATTGCAGCAAACATGGTAAAATGGTTCTAAATATTGATATGAACATTGTTGAACAAGCATAGATGACTTGAATAGCTCTAGATGACTTGCACTTATCCATTCATATTCTAGGAACAAGTCAATGAATAAGTAAGACTTGACTCTTGACAGGCTTAAAAGACGGGGGACCCTATAAGACTTAAACTAAAAGTTCATTTGACCATTGATGACCTATGATAGGGAAGGGTCAGGATAACACTTATATAAAATATTTAAAGTGTCTAATAATGATAATGAACATATTACAATGTTACACAACATTAGTAGATGCTAATTAAATGTCAATTAGTGTTAGTGTAATCTGCATTTTTCATTTAATGCTGCAACAAGCGCACAAGTACCAAAAAGTGCCACGCCCACTTTTCCCTGAAAGCAGCCATGTGTGACTATATTTGATAAATATTATTGATTTATAGGATCATTATATCAACTTTTAAGTGTTTTAGTGTTAATATAGACATAATATTACAAATTTTGACAAAGTAGCAGCAATAAAATCCAAACAGATTTTGAAATATTTCACTTAGAGAACAAAGGGACACATTTGGGAGGGGGTCAAATTGAGAATATTTCAAGATATAAATACTGTTTCTATGGTAACCATATAAGTTAGAGATTGGAAATTTCTGGCACTTATTAACCATAACATGCCCTACCCAATATAAAACAATGAATATCTGACATGCATTAGTATTCTTTTTATTGGGTGGTATTAAAGTACCCCCATGGTTTTTTGGGGGTAGGGGTATTAATTGGTCTGAGGGCCGTCTGCCACCCCTATAGAAAGTCCAACTACCCAGAAAGTGTCCAGTATAATCATACAGATGGTTTGAAATAGGTTGGAATGTGTAACCTTTCATGTAAGGAAGGTTGCATTTCTAGAGCACTTCTACAGAATGGCTTACAGTCTATCAAGTAGTTTTTCTGAAAACCATTTTCTCTCAAAATCTTGAAGAGAACGCCTTGCATGAATATTTGTCGATTGCGCTGGTTATCGAAACGATTCGTTTTGGTTACAAAATGTCGGAACGTCGAAGGTACGATTTTTCTATTTTCCTTATTTCACGCGTTGTAGGCAGAATCCCAACGGTATTTTTCTGACAAACGTGTATCAGTATCATATGTTTCAGAAAATGTACATGTTAAGGGTTAAAAGTGCAGATCTTAACTGTTTTTCGATATTCCGTTTATGTAACTGATGTGAGGAACTAAATGGAAGATTCTGTTGTCATCTGAACTATTTGTTCGCAAACATGTACATTTCCTAAGACATATGATACCGATACACGTTTGTGATAAAAATGTCATAGGAAATCTGCCTACAACTCGTGAAATAAGGAAAAAATAAAAATCGCACCTTCGACATTCCGACATTTTGTTACCAAAACGAACCGTTTCGGTAATCAGCGTAATCGAGCAGATCACCAGTGATTCATATTAATTTAGAAATTCATAAGATAGTCAATTAATTAGTGCCTCGATGTTTATGCTATAAAGCTGTTCATTTTATAGGTATCAACTTCCAAATGTCATAACTTTGACCCAAAACTAGCAAAAAGTACTTTCGAAAAACTGCAGACGTGTATTTTCTTTTAGCACCGCTGCTTGGGGAAAGGGACAACCAGACAATTACAATGACAACGAAGACTGTGGGGAATTCTGGGACAGTCCAAATGGAGTTTGGAATGATGAGCCTTGTGAGAATTGGAAACGATTCATTTGCAAAAGAAGGAATAGTAAGTTATACATATTTATGCTTTCTGCAGGTTAACTTCTACTGATACTAATCTGATCCTGTAAAGTTTTGACCTCTCCATATCTATTAATTATTTATCCGGGATAATTTTGAATCATGGATTGAGTTTTTTTTATGTCATTAGAGTTGCTCTGCTGAGCAATACATCTTTTGGAGATCTCTTAATCCCAGTATATGGGGCCGTCAACTAGTTTGGGTATTGCTCTTCGGTAATGTTCACAAACAAAATAAACAAAGTGTCTATTATATTTAACTTTAAGTTCTTGTATCTTAAATCACTGCCTGCCTTGAATATTTACACAAAATGTCTAAGCTTCACATCAAAACTCATCTATTCGAATGTTACATGTCAAACAACTAAAACCACCCACCCAACCAACCACCTACATTTTTTGACAACTGTCATACTTTTCCAGATGTCCTTGACCTATGTGACCTTGATGATGGCTGGCATCCCCATCTGGACAAATGTTACAAGCAGTTTGGTGATATGAAAGAATGGGGAGAAGCAGAGGAAGTATGTGAGTCATATAATGGCAACCTGATGGTGATAAACACGCAGGATAAACTCCATCTTACGTGGGACACACTTACGTGTTATGACTCAAAAGCTCGTTACTGGATTGGACTTTCTGATACGGTATGTGTTATATAATTATACCTGTCATTTACATAATTAATAGACCGTTATGTATTTCATTTAGTAGTATAAACGCCAACGTTTAAAAAATATTAAAATATAAACTATATTTTTGAATTTTTAAACTAAAATTGTTTTCCTTCATACTATACCTACCCTATTGACCAACAATTTGCTTCGACTATTTGCATTTACCTTCTAAAGACTTTGAGTTTCATCGCTGTATACATTTGTATACCTAGGTACTCCCAAACTATATGACCTGGGTCGATGGATCCCCACTATCCCTGGACAACTGGGACGAAGACCAGCCTCAATACCCGTAAGAAATATTCCCATTTCAGTTAACTAATCATTTTGCTATTTATCGCATTCACCATTACCACAATGGAAACATTTTACACAGTTTTGCTTTGCTGGGATGATTTGAGGGAAATGTACAATCCGCGTCGAAAGGTTTGCAGGATGACCTCCCCTTCTGGACAAAATGTAGTTTATTACGTCTATTTCAAAACATTTTGGAGAACATACTATCCAATGGGGAGTAAATAATTGAAAAATGTTTAGAGGAAATTGTTTCTTCGGAAAAATATACTATTTATATTTGTGTACAGGGAGCCAGGAAATATGTGCACTGAGATCGTCAGTGGCGCTAGACACAAATGGAGGGCGGCGTATTGCAATCAGGAAAGAATGTATGTCTGTGAGAAACCACAAGGTAAAGTGGTGCCGCTGGCATTTCAAATAATTTAAATAACTTTATCTACATTATTTTTTAATTTCATTTTCATTATTTTGGATGTCTTTGAAAGCCTTGTTAAGAGAAAAACTTCAGAAACACATTCTTGTCCTCGTGGGAAATCACAGTCTTACATCGGTATCTTTCTAGGAGGATTCTTAGCTTGGCAAAGAAAGTCATCAGTATCAGAATGAATTTTGTACAAACTGAAAACAAATGTAGAATCGTGCAGATTCAAAAATAAATAGGATATAACATTTCATTTGGCCGTTTTATTTTTTCGGTTATCAATATGTCTCAAATTTATGTTATCATAGGGAGTTGCCCTCAAGGTTGGCAGCGTAACGGCGACACATGTTTCCAGGTTAACGCCCTACCAGACGCTAGGAGGACTTGGACAGAAGCACACAAATTCTGCACTGCCGAGGGGGCAAACCTCCTTGATGACTTAAAGTTAGTATTTCCGTTCAGCTTAATCCAAAATGAAATGAAAAATCTGTATAATAAGTTACAATTAAGCTCGAATATTTTGGATGTGTAAAACCACCTTAAAGCAGCATAAAATTAAAATCTTGTTAAATATAGTGATCTCTTTTTTCAGTAAAGGCAAACATAATTTTGTGAAAAAGATTATGAAGCAGCTAAAGAATGGAAAGATTGATTCATCCTGGTTAGGCCTCTCAGGTTTGTTACAAACAAACAGTCTTGACAAGTACATGTTATGCATCAAAGCACGGACAACAGTTCCAATGCCTCCAGTACCAAACACCAGAATGAACAGAAACCTATTGATGTTAAAAAAGTCAGAAAACATCCAAATCAATCAAATGACTGTCTATATTATAATTATCCTTTCAATGGTATGAAATCCTCATAATTGTGTCATATGCAAATAAAATCGTGATTAAGTTAATTTTAAATGATTAACATACTGCTTTAAAGTATATGCTCTTGAACATCTATTTTTAAGACCGTGACCACGACAACAAGATTACGTGGTGGGATAACACTGAATTGTTATTCAACCAATGGGCAAAGGGTCATCCAAAGAGAGTTGACAAAAGGATGGACTGTGGGTTCATACCTTCAAGTAAGTTTTTTCTCGTTGCAACCCTAACATATATATTTTTTCAACATGCTTTGCGGGTAGTAGTTGTTAAACATTAACTTTTTTTTTCAAAATACTGAATAATTGTTTGTCAAGGTTTTAAAAGGGATGTAACTTCCTCCATTTATATAACATATACGTGTATCCGTGATATGCTTAATAGTCTTACTTTAACAGTAACTTTCCATTTGTATATTTAGATGACAAAAATTCACGATGGAGGACAGGCTATTGTTTCACCAAGCGTCCGTTTGTATGCCAACAAAAAATCTTCAAAATGATTTACAACGTCACAGAACCAGGTATGTATTCCTCAACACATTTCAAGGCACAATATCTGAACTTACAACCAACTCTGTTATTGCTGCAATGAAGATACCCGTTGTAGATGTAAATATTTTCAGGGAAAAGTACTCACCTTACGGCATTCAAAAATAACTGCAAATGCTCACACAATAATTTTAATTATTGTATACGAGAGACTGATTAAAGTGACAATTTAAATAACTTACTTCCTTTTGTATACAGATGCTTGCAAAGAAACACACTTAGGAACAGATTATGTTGGAACGATTTCCACGACACGAGGAGGAAAGACATGTCAGCGTTGGGACTCACAATCACCACACAAACATAGTATAGGTATTAATCATAGATTCCAGCCAGATATTTTTGTAGGAGGATCTGAGGTTCAATAAATTATTCAGAAGATACGTCACCTAAGAAAATATCAAAGGAGGAGGGAAATTAGCGCCACGGATTTTGGACAGTCATATGTTGGATTTTGGCCATTTTCTGAGGATTTAAACAATTATGTATGTTAGGCCAATGCATTTCCTCCAGGAAAATCACTTCAAGAGATGATAAAATAATTTCGACTTTGAGACAGGGTAGATGCAAACAACCCACCCACGTGTTTTTTCTGAAATGTTTCCCTGATTTTCGACCCCTTCCATCCCTGCTTTTTTAATTTTTCTTGCATCAATATGTTGCGTTTTGACACATAGTTAACCACTATGAAGAAATAAGTAATTCCTTCAGGGGATTTAAAGATACCCATTATGGGTGACCAAACTTAGCTGAAAGCAATGATTTTCCCTATGGGAAAATAACATGGGAAATATTGTTTTCCACTTTATCTAAAAGGAATCACTTATTCCTTATAAGGAATTAACTGTGTGTCAAAACGCAACATATTGATGCAAGAAAAATTAAAAAGCAGGGATGGAAGGGGTTGAAAATCAGGAAAACATTTCAGAAAAAACATGTGGGTGGGTTGTTTGCATCTACCCTGTTTCAAAGTCGAAATTATTTTATCATCTCTAGAAGTGATTTTCCTGGAGGTAGTGCATTGGCCTAACATATGTTATTGTTTAAATTCCAAGGAAATGGCCAAAATCCAACATATGACTGTCCAAAATCTGTTGCGCTAACTTCCATCCTTCTTTCAAAACGACTATTGTGCAGGAATTTCTGAGAAATATGAGACAAATCATACCTCATTCGAAACGTATTGTTATTCTTTAACTTTTTTTATCACTAATGAACGCCATTCAAGCAACTCTGCGTTGATAAGAGGGCAAAAAGTGATATTTTATCGGCGGGCTCTTGTCTGTCTAAATCTGAATGGTGCTACCGTGATTCCAACGAACAGCAATGACTTGCATTTTTTCAAACAAAGTGTATAGAGCAAAAATCGTAAAACATCAAACATACAATGTATAAATGGCCATCATTTTCAAAATGGTTGCTTACTAGCAAACTTGTCATCAGAAAAGGTAATATGCTTTTAAGTAGGCACATGTAAGATTTCGACAAAATTGCACACACGTACATGTAATTGGCGGCCATTTTGAAAAGTGGCCGCCTACTAGCCAAAATGTCAGAGTGTCAGTGTGCCATGCTTATGAGTATCTACATATCAAATATGATTAAAATCGCTCTATTATTTTTGAGTTATTATAAAATCCGTGAAATAACACACGTAAGTGTCATTAGACAATGTGCCATGCTTAAAGGATCGACTGATGCTGAGTTTCTCTTGGACGGCGGGTTGAAGAACGCCAACAATTACTGCAGAAATCCGGATGGCGAGAGCGATGGTCCATGGTGTTACACCACGACCTCTAGTGTTCGTTGGGAGTATTGTGATATTCCCTTCTGCCATGGTAAGAATTTAATCTGTAAAATTACTAGTATGTAAAAACAATGAAAAGTCTAGGAAACTGCAACTTCAATTTAGTAATAAATTAAATGTAGAATATAACATTTTCGTGTTTGTAAAAATAGTTTTCGCAAGGGAGGTAACACACATCGTTTCTTTACATTGTTTTATATATATAGAAAAAATCGCAATGCCCTTTTCATCCTGGACTTTGTTTTGTATTAAAATCTTTCAGAAACATAATTTTCGGATGTTTCTTCAAGTAAGATCTTAGCCACCTCCTTTAAATTGCGAAAGAATTTAATGTGTATGAAAATGACAAAAATAGAAATACTAAAATAGGCATTCAAATCATAATTGCAGACAAATACGTGTGTTCACCCGGCTGGCAAATGTTTGAGGAATTTTGCTACTTATTTGTTGAGCCTATTAAGAACTGGCACGCGGCAAACGATGATTGTAAAACTCAAAGTGCTTATCTTACTTCTATCACTAACCCAGGGGAACAATCTTTTATAAGCGGTAAGTAGAATTGACAACACGGCGTTTAAACCATCTTCTTTGTTTCAGGCTTGTCTACTAATAATCTGTATATGTTTTTTACCATTGTTGATAATCCCAAAGCTAATACCCACTCTCACGAATAACAGATTCATGAATAAATCCCGAAAATTTGGATTTTCTCTATTACATAATTATAGAATTGGTTAAATCTATTTATTTTCTAAGCAAGATGTTCCTGCATTTTATTGTAATTGCACATGTTTTGAGCTTCAAATTGTCCTACTAAACTGATTTCTTCATGCCTCCCTGTCAAAGCTTGTACAATTTGAAACGTGCTTATCCCACTGCTATTGCAGGTAAGGTGACTGGTCGTTCCTGGATAGGTCTACACGACATAGGAACGGAGGGGAACTTTGAGTGGTCGGATGGGAGTCAATATAATTTCACCAACTGGAACAAGGGAGAACCTAATAGTTTCTATCCCGAGGAAGACTGTGCTGAAATCTTAGGCCCGGGATCACTGTGAGTCAATATCAGGGAGACTTTAAGATTTTAAGAGAATGCAAACTGTTATGATCAATAGGAAAATAAATTACAGTTCCCCCTCTTAATTGTATTTTCCATGGAGCTCACAGTGGAGCTACTGTTAGTAGTTACAATTATGTGACATGACATTTTCTAGTTTTGCTTAACCTCAAATGCAAGATGGCGTTTTAACGAACATTACAATTTCCTAAGTTCTTTTAAATCAGTTTTGAATACATTTGCATACATTTATTTATATAAGTTTCCTTGACCTTTGCTCTCTTCAATTCATATACATTTCTAATTTTATTTTATTTTTATTGTAAATGTACATTACTAACTTGATATTTACTTACTCAGTTACTCACTCACTCACTCGCTCACTCAATCACTTACAAATTCCATTTCGTTTAAGAACTGTTTCTTGTGACATAAACGTACCTTATGTTGTCAAAACAATATGCTGTTATATTTAGACCCGGTGTATGGAATGATGAACGCTGTAACTTCAAGAACAAGAGCTACATTTGCAAGAAACCCGCCACACACAGACTCTTACCACCTCCTACTACTATGAGAACAACCCAGCGTGAGTACTTTAATTTACACCATACAATACCGGTGTAAAAGGGCAGGGGGTCCTATCAAATTATGGTCCTACTCTCTATTGATTTATATGGTGACCTAAACACAACTCTTTCCCTCATTATCATATACGCAATCAGGGCCAGTAAGGGCCTTTAAGAAAGGGGACCATAAGCCCTGGGGGACCATCATTTCTTTCACACCGGGACAATTAGGGGCTACTCTCATCCTATTCTCTCACCCAGTTTAGTATTTCTAAGCGTACAAACATAAATAGTTACGATTCATTGTGCTACGTGTTAGCAGTTCCGTTCAATTATCATTTCACAAGTATGTGTCGTTTTTGCACTTATTTACAATATGACAGCAAAAATTAATCAACATGTTTCATCAAAGGTAAAAGGGAACTTAGACATGTTTTATATGCATAAGATCATAGTTTGGGTTATTAGGGTTTTGTTTTTCGTATGCCTGAAATGTACATACCGTGTTATGTAAAACCTACAGCTACCCTTTTGTGTAGCCCTTGAGCACTTGTTTTCTTTATATTTTCAGCTGCATGGTCAGAACAATGCGGACCATACTGGTCGTTTGACAGTTTGGGAAACTATTGTTATCAGCTTTTCACAGACGTTCGCAAAGACTGGCCAAGTGCCCGTCAAGATTGTCTCTCTAAAGGAGGTGATCTTGTCAGCATTGTAGGGGTACACGAACAGGCATATATATCAGGTAGTTTGAATGTACTTTACATTTCTGCATAGCAATGGATATTCAACACGTTATGGTCAGTTACCCGACGTAGCACCTTGCTTAAGCATTTGAAAATCACTTGACATCTAGCAAATGCTCCCATCTCCATTTAAACCATTGTTAAGACAAACACAAGATGAATGAACATACTAAACTCGAATAAGCACACTATCACATCTTTGAGACTAACCATTAAAGGGAAAATGATGTCGGAAAGACAGTATATAGGGTCAAAACTGGGATAGAAGATGGATACGTTAGCATGAACTACATAGAATTGACAATGCATATTGGACTTATTTTTGAAGCTTCTTAACTTTGACATCAAATTGTCTCACAAATATCAACAATCCACATGTTAAGAACAATGCGTTTGACCAAAGTTTTATTATATTACAGCAATGATAATCAGTAGTGCGGGACACGGTTCGTTGTCTTTTTGGACTGGTGGAAATGACAGAGATCAGCGAGGAGGGTGGCGATGGAGTGATGGCTCCCCTTTCAGATTCGTACTCTGGTCACAAGGTACCGCTTCGGTTACAAATTTGCTAAGAGTACATTCTACTAAAGGAGCAAAAATGTATGTAGTTAACAAACAAGGTTTAAATGAACTCCTGTGTTTCTCTCAAGGATTACTAGATCTATTGTCATTCGTTAGAGTTCAATCATAGCTGTTTGCAAATATATCCAAATTGGTTATTTCCTTATCTAAGGAACTAATGCCATGGCTCATATATCAATGTGGTTTGATAAAGCAGCTATATTTAATACTGTAAAATGTATGGTGTGTAACTTTGGTTTTCGTGACCGATGGCAGGTCACCAATGGTTCCAGAAGGTACCGTGTCGTTTAGACTTTTAATTGCCCCTGATCCTTGTAAAATGCTCAACTAAAATATTAAATAAATCACATATAATTGTAGGTGAACCAAGACGCAAGCACTGTGTCAGTATAACTGCCATAGACGGGAGGTGGAAAGCACAGGATTGTCCAACTAATCAGGCATACATGTGCAAGAAACTGCGTGAGAAGAAAAAGTTTTTATATACATTTTGCAATTATTTGTTGGTATTTTTGCCATATATTGTCATTTTTGCCAATTCTTCAAAAATCCACAACAGTTTATTCGAATTCCAATCAATCAAAATACAGGAGAAATCCAATAAAAGTAATTTTTCAATCTTTACCAATGCTGTAATGAGCCAATTGCAAGATTACGTTGACCAACTTTTTTATAATTCGAGCTGAAATAATTGAACTAGTACAATGATTGAATCAAATATTTTTTAAAACTGAATAATCAATTATTACACACATGTTGTTTCATATAGTATTTACCACATTTTAGCTGCTGGTGTGACTACGGTTGCCACAACGCTTCCAACCACCCCAGCTCCACGTATGTATTGTAACGCATCCATAGGTTAAACAACCTAATTTTTAAGTCACTTAATCACATTGATAATTTGCTAAACTCGATCCGCCTAGAAACAAATCAGTCAAATTGAACCGAGGACAAATATCTAAGCACATGTGCCAAAGGGAAAGGACAACAAATATATATAATTATGTCATATAAAAAAACAATTATAGTAACTGTATAATTGGCATTTAATCCGAATGGTTAATTTTTAATTTGTCGAATGGTCAAATATCATTTTCCTAATTTTAATTTTCCTGACAAGAAAGTTCCTTTTGGATAACATTATGAAGATAATATTTCCGACATTTAATTTTCCGCACCTAGTAGAAAATAGGCAATAGACAAATACATGATTAAATGGGCAAAATTACCCCTTATACAGTATATGTTAATCTGCACTATGCTATATTAACTTGTCTATAACTGGTGTTAGATAAACGTTTAATCCAATTGCAAACCTAAATTTCAGCTGATTGCCAGCACTGGCCGATGATATCAGGATTCCAAAGTATTCAAGATGATTTACTCGCCTCGTCTTCAAACAAAGATTCTAAACATCAAGCAAAACATGGACGATTAGACTTAAGTAAGAATAAATATATACATTACTATTTAAGTGATCTGTAAGCACAAAGTCACAAATAGATTAGATGCGAGTAGAAATAATCTTGGTTTACGTCATTAAAATTCAAAATTCAGTCAAACTGATGTCTATTTGGAATCTTCATGTAAAATTACATCTAGAAATGTGGTTTTGAAGAGTTTATCAACTTTGAAAATTTAATTTTCTTTGAAAAACGTGACTTCTAGGTCGGGGAGATTACCATATACCCCATGTTGTAAAATCACAAAAAAAGAAATATCCTTTCTTGTGTTGGACAGATAATATTTTCTTTTACTGGGCATTTTTAATGTCTATAACTATCAGATCCTTATAGGATATCCTATGATTTTGAGGAATATCATTTTTATCTACGAGGTGATATTGATATCTGCACGAGAGAGCGAAGCGAACGAGTGCATATTTCAATATCACCGAGTAGATTAAAATGATATTCTGAAAAAATCATAGGATGTTCTTATTATCCTACACTTACAAGGAGTGTACTAAATGTATAATATCATTGCAAAATGAATTTCATGCCAAATAGAGTCAATTTGGCGGGAAATCAACAAGCGGAGTATATCGTCACAATATCCTCCGCATATTGGGTTTTCCGGAGTATATCGTCACGATATCCTCCGCCCGGAGTATATCGTGACGATATCCTCCGGATATTCATTTTGCCCATAAATATCAAATTTATTTTTTAATGTTATTATACATTTAGTACACTAAGTGTAGGATAAATAAGGGTAATATGAAAAGCGAACCACCAAAACTGATGAATATTCAAGTTTAACGGAACTTTACCCTGCCATGTTATTTCCCCCGACTTAACCACCTGGTGGCGAAACTGGTAACTACCTACTTGCATCTGAGTAATTGGAAGAGCAAAATGGAAATATCGAAAAACTAAAACACGAAAATGTATATCTAAAAAATCAGCGACTAAGAAACAATATAAAATTGTAAAAATTAAATTGTTTTAAATTTTTGATTTTGCATCTTTGCATTTCCATTGCAATCTAAATCATTTTGCCGTTGCGAAATGTCAAGTATAAAAATGCTTTAGAATTGGTCCAAAACAATATTTGATTTAGAAGTCAATACTATACTAAATAATCTTCTTCTTTTCAGTTGGATGCAAAGACGACAATATTGGCAAAGCTTATCAAGGATTTGCAGCTTGGACGATATCAGGGAGAACGTGTATGAAGTGGGCTGATCAGTATCCACATAAACATAGGTACATACAAATCCAATCAGAGCTTCACATAGTCCTTTCTTTTTTTACTTAGGGTGTCTGTTTTGTCCACTGTAGCCGACAACGCTCAGTTAACATCAATATCCACTATAAGGTACATTAATAATAAGGTACATGATGACTGAAAATAATCAATTTTACATTTTAAGCTTTGATTTGAATGTTCAGATTCATTTATCGAATATAACAGGTACACAGACCCATCAATGTTCCCGGATGCAACAATGGATGACGTAAGCAATAACTGTAGGAACCCGGATGGAAGAAAAGAAGGACCATGGTGCCTCACAACTGACCCAAAGAAAAGATGGGAAAGATGCTGGATACCAGACTGCAAAGGTGATGGATCCATGGACCAAAGTGTCATTTATTTACATCGAATTTCTACAAAATAGCCTCTTCAACAAAGCGTCATATTACAATTGGATTATATTTTACAAAACATGTAATAAAAAGTTGCATTGATTTGCCGCACCCTACCAGTCACTATATTTATTCAGTGTTAATTGTGGCTAACGTAACTCGGATGACTTATTTGGAAAGATTTTTTCGGAACCTTCACAACAAAATTCAGCGCAACCTATAACATAATTTAAATAAAACGGTTATTATTTCAGCTAGAACTCCATATTCAGGTACATGGGACGCCAAGAACAACAAAAAGGGGGAGTGGCTTGAAGTTGACTTCAAGGTGCTAATCGTTGTCAAAGGAATCGTGTTTGGCGGCAGCCAAGAGAAAAACCAATTTGTGAAAATTTATAGAATATCATACGGGTTTGACCATTCTCAAATAGAATGGTATCAAGACGAAAACGGGGCAATAAAGGTATGTAATACATTTTCCTCGGATATATTTTCAGGGCTTTTGCATTTGGTTGTTAGCTCGGCTGGTGAGCATTTGCTTTTATATAGCTTTCACCTCCTAATGTTTGCCAGACTCACACTTTGATGAGAGTGTTAAGTCTGTTCATGAATTAACAAAAAATAAGTAAAATAAACATGTTTGTATTTAATTTATTCCCTTAATTAGAAAAACTATTATTAATTAAACGGAATCATAAAGTAATGTGTAACCAATGTTTTTCTTAAATATTTTATTTATCTGTGTAAATATTTTTTTATGCACTTTCAGGATTTGACTGGACTTAGTTCACCCAACGAGATATCAGTGCAAATGTTTGACAGGCATTTTCAGGCAAGATACGTTCGTATCTGGCCAAGATCTTGGCAGAATGGAATATCTGTAAGATGGGACCTATTGGGATGCAAATTACGTAGGTATTCTATGAAGAAAAATGATATAACGGCCTGACAAACTGATCCCAGAAAGTGGTATTAAATTTTAAGTGTATTTAAATGTAAATAATGATGATATTCTATGTATCTTAGATACGGGATAAAGACAAAAAAACAATACAATCAGGTTGCAATATTCATATTGCTATCTATTCTAATGTCGTTAGCTTTTTTTCTTCTTCCTGAGCATAAATATCAGCTCTTCATCAATTTGAGTAGGTATATAATATACGATATTTTGAAAACTCGTTGTTCTATATTCCTTTAAAGGTTCTATACATTTTAGTAAATTGTTATCTTCAAAGTTGTTGCACAAGTCCTCGGATACAAGTCGAGTTCAAAAAGTAACTACCACGCTTCCCATTTATACAATCAGGTGATTGTGGTTCCGAAGAACTCGTAACTGGGCCAAGTATAGTTCCTGATGAGCGAATAACATCATCCAGTGATTTTGATGCATATCACTCCTCTAACAGGGCCAGGATGCACACGCTAAAAGAGGGTCCGAATAAAGGAGGGTGGGCGGCAAAGAATAATGACGTTAACCAATGGATTCAGGTTAGCCTAATCAAACATACTTTTCTTTCACCGAAATTATTTTATGAAAGGTTGGACCCCGTCGGACTTTGTCACAATGCGTTGCAATCGTTTATTGTCATAATGGTTGGGCGCTTATTGAGCTCTGTTACCTCAGCAACTATTAAGTATATTATATAGTACATTACTAACAGAGAGATGAACATGCATAAAACTATTAAGTAGTTCTCAAGATCTCACACTGTGCAAAAAGCCAAATATAGTAGCATATAAGTGGCAAACTATTTGTGAATATAGTTCAGTATGTCCTCACTATATTGTATTCGGTATGGGAAACAAACTATTCTTGCCTCAGAAGGGGAACATTTAGTATTGGTGGTATATACTCTACGATACTAAATATCGTTTGAACTATTCTCCGATTATTCTTAAGAGCCATGAATAGTAGGGTATAAGTATATAGAAAAGATGAGTATAGTATGTATTACGTAATCCAAAAACAAACTATACGCCTCTTATACGTGAGGCTATATATTCTTTGATGTGCCTTAATTTGCTTGGAGTTAATCCTATTTTATTTTTTAATTAAGCGCTAATGTAAACAAGTAAAATCATGCATTTAACTTAAGAAAGCTTAATCAAACTTAATGTCAGAGATCTCATTTAAAATTTTATGATGTTGAAGTATATGATTTTAAATGAACTTTAAATTAATTTTAAAAATGTAAGTCAATACAAAAAGTGGAATGAAAAATTTGGGTATATTTCAAATATAAATCGATAAATTATTTATTCTCCTTTTTTAGTAAAATAACCTTTCAATGTAAGGATTTAATTTGAACATCATAAATAATGCGCCAAATTGAACTACACTAATGCGCCAAATTGAGCTTTTTAATATATTGATGAAGTTTGAGCACATCACATACTATGTCCAAAATTGAAATAAGTTGAACGAGCCAAGTTCAACCTTTCAATGTAAGGATTTACTTTGAACATCATAAATAATGCGCCAAATTGAACTACACTAATGCGCCAAATTGAGCTTTTTATTGAATATTGATGAAGTTTGCGCACATCACACACTATGTCCCAAAATCCAAATTGAAACATACTCATGAGCCAAGTTTAACCTTTCAATGTAAGGATGTACTTTGAACATCATAAATAATGCGCCAAATTGAACTATACTAATGTGCCAAATTGAGCTTTTTAATATATTGATGAAGTTAAAGCACATCACATACTATGTGAACAATACTAATGCGCCAAATTGAACTTTTTAATATACTGATGTACTTGAAGCACATCACATACTATATCCCAAATTGAAACATACTCATGAGCCAAGTTTAACCTTTCAATGTAAGGATGTACTTTGAACATCATAAATAATGTCCCAAATTGAAACATACTCATGAGCCAAGTTTAACCTTTCAATATAATGATGCACTTTGAACATCATAAATAATGCGCCAAATTGAACTATACTAATGCACCAAATTCAACTTTTCAATATACTGATGAACTTACAGCACATCACATACTATGTCCCAAATTAAAATATACTCATGAGCCAAGTTTAACCTTTCAATGTAAGGATGTACTTTGAACATCATAAATAATGCGCCAAATTGAACTATAATAATGCGCCAAATTGAACTTTTTAATATACTGATGAACTTGGAGCACATCACATACTATGTCCCATTGAAACATACATGTACTTATGAGCCAAGTTTAACCTTTCAATGTAAGGATGTACTTTGAACATCATAAATAACGCACCAAATTGAACTATAGTAATGCGCCAAATTGAACTTTTTAATATACTGATGAACTTGGAGCACATAGCATACTATGTCCCATTGAAACATACTCATGAGCCAAGTTTAACCTTTCAATGTAAGGATGTACTTTGAACATCATAAATAACGCGCCAAATTGAACTATGATAATGCGCCAAATTGAACTTTTTAATATACTGATGAACTTGGAGCACACCACATACTATGTTCCATTGAAACATACTCATGAGCCTAGTTTAACCTTTCAATGTAAGGATGTACTTTGAACATCATAAATAATGCGCCAAATTGAACTATAATAATGCGCCAAATTGAACTTTTTAATATACTGATGAACTTGGAGCACATCACATACTATATCCCAAATTGAAACATACTCATGAGCCTAGTTTAACCTTTCAATGTAAGGATGTACTTTGAACATCATAAATAACGCGTCAAATTGAACTATGATAATGCGCCAAATTGAACTTTTTAATATACGGACGAACTTAGAGCATATAACATACTATGTCCCAAATTGAAACATACTCATGAACCAAGCTTAACCTTTCAATATAATGATGTATTTTGAACAAAATAAATAACGCGCCAAATTCAACTATACCAATGCGCTAAATTGAACTTTTTTTAAAATACTGATGAACTAAGAGCATGTCACAGACTATTCCCAAATTGAAACATGCTCATAAGCCAAGTTTAACCTTTCAATACAAGGATGAACTTTGAACATAATAAATAGCGCGGCAAATTGATCTATACTAACGCGCCAAATTGAACTGATGTACTTGGAGCACATGACATACTATGCCCTAAATTGAAACATACTCATGAGCCAAGTTTAATCTTTCACTGTAAGGATGTACTTTGAACATCATAAATAATGCGCCAAATTGAAATATACTAATGCGCCAAATTGAACTTTTTAATATACTGATGTACCTGGAGCACATCACATTCTATGCCTCAAATTGAAACATACTCATGAGCCTAGTTTAACCTTTCACTGTTTCTTTCAACATTTGGGTAATAACTGTGGATTAAAGGTAAAAAAAAGTAATTCATTAAAAATCAAAAAATTAACTTTTCAATGAGTTTATCGATTAATTCCAAATTTTAACACAATATTAATCATAGCAAGAGGGACACTAAAGAATCAAATAAATTAGAAAGACTTAATTTGCAAATTACTTTTCTGTGGAAATCAGAGCCATCTGTAGATATTAATCCTTTAACTCATAACAAACGGATTAGTTATCAGTGAACAAAACTCATGTCATAGAAATTAAATACTTGGGGATTAAAGTTTTATTTATATTGCTCTGACATGTCAATACATGTACAAGATGGTGAAAAACTGCATGATCAGTTATTTAATCTTTGGCGTTACGAAATTGAAACTGCTATGTAGCATTGATATCGTGTGAAGTCTAATTGTTTACGAGATCTTATGAGATTTGCATAATTTTTTTTTGATTCAGGCTGAGTTTTCCCGACCCATGAGGGTTAGGGTTATCGCGACCCAGGGAAGGTCAGACGTCGACCAGTGGGTAACTAGGTACATGCTCGAATACAGCTACCGCACAGACTCAAACTTTCAAATGTATCAACAGCCCTACGGTTTCAGAAAAGTAAGATATGCGCATGCGTGTTAATTTTTACTAAGCTAAGCAACTAATGACCATAATACAAATAAAAAGAAAACAATTTTCAGGTACCAAACAAATAGTTGCTCTATTCGCATTTTAGGAATTCAATGGAAATAAGGATAGAAATACGGTAAAGAAAAACTGGATGAAATCTCCATTCATGGCCACGAGAATTCGCATTCGACCCCTCGCTTGGAATAATCATGTGGCAATGAGATTTGACGTCTTGGGATGTGAAGAAGGTATGTATGAAATTAATTGGAACAAATACACCCAGTCCCCAGACGATGATACGATATTCAATCGAGCTTTCAACTTTCCTATTAATGATGTAATATTAGTTATGAATACGGTGTGTGTCTTGGAAAATTGAATGATGTATTAATTATCAATTTTTCTATTCACTATCCAATTGCCGAAGAGATACCGATCAATGTGATATTATATCATGATATTAAAAAACACTGGCTTTTATGTTGTGATTTTTCAGAGCAATATGGGATTAAAGTTAAAGACTGCTCCTTTTAACTTTAAAGTATAAGTACGCTGTTACTTTTCTTTTTTAGGATGTCGAGGGTGGAGACTGATTAAAAACGTACCATTTAAGCGTATCACGGCGTCCTCTGAGTTTGATTCTAACCATGGAGTGACGAGGTGCAAACTTGACACCAAACGAAAGGGTCCTTTAAGGGGTGGTTGGTCTGCTAAATCAAACGACGGCCAACAGTGGATAATGGTGAGAAATATTTTATAGGATATAAGACAGGACAACAAGTTTTTTTAAATGCTGTATTTACTTATGTTTGAATAAGCAGCGTAGTGGCACACTAATTTTTGGTGAGTAGTTAATGAATAGTGAGTTTGGATGCTGAGTAAAACGTATAAAATTGCATCCCTTGATATTATTTACCCCGTATCCAGCTCTATCTAGCGTTAACATCAGCTGTCTCTAGACAGATCGAGAGAGGGCTTGAGCGCCGGCAAGTTCAGGCGATTGGGCGCCATAACCACGAGGTTGCGAGTTCGAGACGCGTGTGCTCCTTGTGTTTATTCTTGTATGTTGTAACTGATTTAAGGTCACGCTCGTCACTCAATTCCAAGTTAAGGCTGTTGGTACACAAGGGAGGTCTGATGTAGACCAATGGACCACAGAATACAATATATATTACAGTACGGACGGGAATAACTTCCAGGTGTATTCCGATGATAATAAGACTCCAACGGTATGTTCTTTACCGTTTATGACAAAAGAACTCCACAGCACAAGTATATATAGCAATCAATTATAAGATACAATTATATTTCTGTTTAACTACAAACATGCATAAATAGTTAACAGTTACACGTAACATAATATATGTACAATATACAATATACCTAACAAGATGGATGCATCCGAAACCAACTTGTCTTCCAATAAACTACTTCCTGATGCAGCCATCTTACACAAGTTTGGCATGGGGAATACTCAACCAACCATGGTGTTCGCTGTTTAGATGTTTGACTCAGTCTGCTGCACAGCCCCCGAAAACGAGTACTTGTATATTATTGATATGACTTGCACGTAGATAATTGGTATATTTTCGGTATGTGCATAAACAATTATGAGTCAAACATGTAAATGATACTTAAAATCTTTGGGGTAAATCACACCATAGGGTTGTGTATTCATAATTAAGGAGGTGAATCGGGGATGGATGGGGGGTTAGCGACTCCTTGTAGCTTGTTCGAGAGCATACAAGAAAGTGAAACACATATGGTATCGCTCGCCACCCACCTTCTTGACGGTCATTCCACATATAAGGAGACATTTAAGGTTCCAAACTTTTGAAAAATGAACTTCGTTTCATTGCATTCATTTTAAGATTTTGATTTTGTCTTATGTATCCTCTATAGAATCCCAAAGTTTTGGCATTTTAACTTTTACATATCAAAAGTTACACTATTTTGAAAATAAGAGGTGTAAAATTATAAAAAGCGTATAGTTTAAGGTTCGTTCTCGATACCTCTTTTATTCTATGGAGATTTTAGCTAACTTGATATGCGATGTCTTCCTCTGGTAATCTCTATTCTATAGATCACTAAGGAACAAAACAATAAATTGTATTTGGGAAATCACTAATCATTTTAATCAAGAAATAACATAAATTTACGTTGTAATGCATAAATGCAGTCGCTTCTCAAAAAAATTATTTTACAAAACGCAACACTGTCATGTATTCTCATGATGTTTAACACAACATGTGAAAAGTTATTTTGGGCATACAATGAAACTATGGGATTTAGCTTTCAAATCATCATATATTTGTATGTGGCAAAGACATCTAGTAATAATCAGAAATAAGTTAAACTTGTCAGTGCAAAACAAGGTCGCTTAAAGTAAAAATTGACGCAATTGTTAATCCACCGAATCTTTCTCGTATACTGTATATCCAAAGTCTTAAAACACAAGCTCCTGTCCATTGTATTGTCACCATAAACCATTTTATATCTTTAATAGAGATAAAAGATTAATTTGAAAATAATAACGTATCTTAATATCATTATGAAAACATTTGTTTAGAAGAATATAAACTCGTGATATGACCAACTACAAACAAAAACAACTTCTTAAACAACAAAACATAAAATGCTTCATATATAATAGCAGAGGCAAATGAAAGGGAACGTCGCTTAAATCTAAGACATTTCGTTCCTTTACAAATGTCAAATGTTTACTTCGCCGGAATAAGGCTTTAGCCAACGTTTTTACTTGATGTGCTCCACTTTTGCAAGATCAATTCCATGTCACTGGCGGCGATTTTCATCATCTTATTTCAATTGTTTTCCATTTAGCTCAGCACGGGGCACATAGTATCGTCTTCTTCTGATACGTTCCTTTTCAAGGTATTTTTGTCCCTCAATTCTTTTCTTTCTCTACAATGCGTATCAAAAAAACGCAACAGATTGTTATCTTGGAAAAACACAAAACCAGTGATAACAGCATTGATTTCATTCAATGCACCAAAGCTATGTGTCTCCTCTTTACAATGATATATCATTCATTGATATTTAGTCATGGTCGGGTGAGTAATCATTCCATTTGAAAAGTGGGCCAGAATTAGCTTCGGGCCAAGTTATAAACATTGCAAAAGTCAGTGTACGGAGCCCGATGCAATATTGGACGAAAACATAAAACCAATGCTGACTGCATCCTTTTAATTCAATTTACCAAAAAACCAAATTACTCCTCTTTGCAATGAAATATCATTCATTCACAGGGAGTCATCTTTGTCCGAATAATCATTAATTTTGCAAAGTGGGGCAAAAGTCAGTACAAGGGGCATAGGGGCTATTGGAAGAAGGTGTGAAAGGTATGGCATAGACAGTAAAGTGTTCATACTCATACCCTTGCAAGAATACATCCTATACCCCTTCAAATTGCAACCACTTCCTTGCACATAAAGATGCGCTCATCTGTCCACGTCATGCATGGTTCAGCCTTAAATTATGTGTAGGTTAAAGCAAAGAAAAGTAGCCCATGGGCAAATCTTTCTCGAGGTTTTGCAATATCTGGTGAAGGAATTGTGAGCACAGATGCTCCTGAGATAGCTCCAAAAGGAAAAGTCAAAACAATTAAAGTCAGGGGAACTTCCATTGGCACTTAGCCCTTGCACTGATTTTTTCAATATCTAAAACTTGGCGCAGAGCCGATTTTGACCCACTGTGTAAATGGAAGGATTTCTCACCCAACCATCACCACATGTGAATGAATATCATTGCAAAGAGGAGAGACATGGCTTTATGGTACATTAAATGAAATTGATTTCGTCATTACTAGTTTTGTGATTTTACGAGATAACAACTTGTTGCGTTTTTTTTTGATACGCCCTGTATAATTCTTTTGAATTTCTGCTTTAGTCTTGGCCATATTCTGCAACAAATTGTGAATTCCCGGGTTAGTTACCACTGTTAAGACAGAAATAAAACAAGTATTAAGTGACGTTATCAAAAGCAACGTACCTTAATTGATATAAAACTCAAGTCGAATGTAATTTGGGAAAAAATTTGACATCATGTTTTAACAATGACCAATTAAGTTGTTTATTTAGAATATCTTTCAACCGAATCGGGATATCCTAGATCTTTGATTAACCAGCTTTGTTTAGGCAAAAGATACAGGTGTTGTACTTACGCGATTGCTGTATTATTTAGGGATTATTTGGAAGAAATCCCTATTCCTTAGACTGCAAATAAAGTATGGCGTATCATGAGATCACGTGATGACCTCCTCCACTTGAGTTAGTAGCATTTATTGCTGAGTTAACAACTTATTTCGCACTTTCCGTAACGTACCTTATTGCAACGTACATGAGGAAAACTCATTACATGTTCCAATAAAGCAATATAACAGAGCGAACAAAGGTAATGAGCACATTGTATTGAATGTCCGCCTTGTCATATTCAAGAATTTATTTGCTAATTCCATCAAGATATTACAAAATGTTGGGAAATGTTGTAACGTACCTTAAAATCCTTATCTTTTGAATTGAAAAATGACACCTTTATGACCTATAACTTTTGTTCTGGATAGAATACAGTTTTTAAACTTTGCATGCATTTTGATAAATCATTTTCTGATAAAATATCACTCTGGGTTAAACATTTAAGTAATTCGTGCATTCTCTAGAAATTGAAATATCTAAAGTGGTATTTTAGAAAAAAAACTGGCGACATGGGTTCCGGGCATCTGATTATTAGGTTGGAAAGGATTAAATTACTCGAAAAGTTGGTAAAATAAAGTATACCCACAGGTATCTTTTCAGGAAGTTTGGATGCGTTCTGAAATCTATAACTACTTCAGTTATGCTTATAAAACATCACTATGCACTCTGGCGACATAACGTACCTGAGGAATTTGTCATCAAATTAAGTTAGAAAAAATTCTCACTTACTACCAAACAATTAAAATTTGTTGTATGGTGGTTGTACAAGTGGGTATTGGTCCTAAGTAGATGTTCTTAAAAAGTTTCTATATATATCTATTAACGCTTGAGAAAAAACCCTTGGCGACACGAATGTCTGCTTATATGTGGAATGACTGTTGAATGATTAATGAGTATAGAGCATGGAATTCTTTCTTCACATAAACAAGGTTTAATTAAATTAAACCTCAATTTATGACAAAAGAACTCCACAGCACAAGTATATATAGCAATCAATTATAAGATACAATTATATTTCTGTTTAACTACAAACATGCATAAATAGTTAACAGTTACACGTAACATAATATATGTACAATATACAATATACCTAACAAGATGGATGCATCCGAAACCAACTTGTCTTCCAATAAACTACTTCCTGATGCAGCCATCTTACACAACTTTGGCATGGGGAATACTCAACCAACCATGGTGTTCGCTGTTTAGATGTTTGACTCAGTCTGCTGCACAGCCCCCGAAAACGAGTACTTGTATATTATTGATATGACTTGCACGTAGATAATTGGTATATTTTCGGTATGTGCATAAACAATTATGAGTCAAACATGTAAATGATACTTAAAATCTTTGGGTAAATCCCAAAAGTAATAAAGCCATGAAATGGTTTATGTATCCCCCAAAGATAAATTTGGTAAGATATCAATTTCCAGATAATACCATTCCATTCATATAGTTACCCCAGGGATAGTTACTCCTAAAATATTAAACCTCTTCTGCTTTGTAGAGCTCATTATAAAGTCATAACTAATTATTTTCTTTGTTAATTATATTTCATTGATGTAAACTTATTAAATGCTCTAATGAACATCATCGAACTTACTTCAATAATCGATATTAAGATTGCTAAATGAAATATATGTTATATTCCGAAACTTGACTTTTATATTGCTGAATGAAATACATGTAGATGTTAAAAGCAAAAGTTTACGTTATACATAATTATGTATATGCTGCTGGTTGACATAGCGTTATATATCTAATATGTCGCTATATATTTAATTACAGTATTTTTGTATTTCAGAAATTCCCCGGAAATTGGGATAGGAATCGATTGAGGAAGCATTACTTCAAGTCTCCATTTGTTGCTAAATATGTTCGGCTTTGGCCAACTCAATGGAATAAACACACGTCACTTAGATGGGAATTGTACGGATGTGCGGGTAATGCCATGGGTCCATATGAAAACTCTTAAGTTTTATTATTCATTTTTGGCCAACTTATCAGAATAAACACACGTCACTTAGATGGGAATTGTACGGATGCGCGGGTAATGCCATGGGTCCATATGAAAACTCCTAAGTTTAATTATTCATTTTTGGCCAACTTATCAGAATAAACACACGTCACTTAGATGGGAATTGTACGGATGTGCGGGTAATGCCATGGGTCCATATGAAAAGTTTTATTATTCATTTTTTGCCAATTCAATAGAATAAACACACGTCACTTTGATGGGAATTGTACGGATGTGCGGGTAATGCTTTGGGTCCATATGAAAACTCTTAAATGTTATTATGTCACCACGAGAAAGTGTTGACATATTGTTGTGGTCTCGGTTGGTGGTTGGCGTCTATAGCAAATGGTGGTGACATTTTGCATTTTAATGCCTTGTTTTATTATGTCATCACTACAAGTGTTGATATTTTTAACAGTGTCTAGCTTTTTGTTGACGGTTTTCGGCGGTAAGCGTTCGGCGTCTGTAACAAATGGCAAAACCTCTCGAAGAAGTTTTGGGATTTTTTCGATATTCCATGTTTGGAATGATGAGTTGAGTATCATTTTGTGAAGTCTCCAAAGAACATGATCAAGATTGGGCAACGACGATTTTTTAAATCGTAATATTAATTTTGTTGCCACCATTGCATAGTTAAATGCGATAAGTTGACAAATTACTTATTTTCGATATAGCAAAACAAATTGAACACTGTTTTATGTAGCCATGCACATCGGAGCCAGATATTCATGCGTCAATTATAGTTCATTTTGAAGTTCAAATATTTAATAATAGAGTAGGCGTCGCAGAACGTTTGGATCAACCCTCGTATCTACATGGTTAAAAATCAACATGATACGATATATAAACGATTTGTCAATAACATTGTATACCAGCCAAAAATTTTAAATGTATATATTTTTTTACATACTTCACATTTATTTCTATAAATCTATAGATTACATTATGTACAAATTGCCCTTGTTGACAAGACAACAATATCGGCAGTTTTTTAATATTGTTGTGACATACCGCTTGTATCTTGTTTCAGCTAATTCCCTCGGTACACCTATCGGTTGTTTCAATGATAAGTCAAACGACAGAGATCTCTCAGAGGAACCACTTGTGGGAATCGATGGCATGAGTGCTCGCCTATGTGTTAGACATTGTTCAAGTTTCGTAAGTCTCAATTTCATGTATGATTTCTCGTTTTTCTTGTCAAAGTAGCAATGTTATATACCCTTTCATAGATATTGTCTGATAGGTAAACATACTGACCATCAGACGACGTATCATACCCATGATGGGTCATTTGAAAAACAATACCTTCTTGTGGCTAGAGTACCATAATGCAACTGAGAAAAAAGTTTAAATATCATAAGCCCAAGGCCTTAAAAGACTATCGAATAGGTACATATATGTACATGTAGTTTGAATTGCCAACATTTGAATGAAGGTAAAATATTTTACCTGCTACTCTTTGTCTGAAAAATGTGAGTCGTTATACTAAAATCGTGAGTCAAACCTTTACTTCATGTCTAGGAGGGTTGACTCCCAGGATCAAAAATCGAGATATTTTCCAACAATGAAAACGTTGAAATGTCGTTATTTTCTGAAATTATAACCGACTATAAATTCAAAATAAATAGTCCAAAATATTTTTTGTTTTGGAAATAAGATCAAAATTCACGATTTGAATGTTCAAGTGAACAAAAAGGCAGCTGGTTGAATCTGAATATTGTAATCACGATACGCCCATATATGGCAAAAATATCGATGCTGCACTCTGGGAGTCAATCCTCTTTGATGTCTTATAGAGGTTTTAATGTTAGTCTGAAGCCGGACTATATCTTAAAAACCCAATATAAATATGTAAGTAGGTGTGACTCGTGATTTCTACAGGGCTATGGCTATGCTGGAGTCCAACGTGGTACAGACTGTTATTGCGGCAACTCTTATGGAAAATACGGCCCTAATAATAAGTGTAACGTCCCTTGTTCATCCGAGCCAGAGACCAACTGTGGTGGAAGATTTGTTAACTTCATATATGGAACTGGGCTAAGTAATTGTTGACACTTATCTTAATAAGTGAGCTAACAGTTAAAAAAATCTAAAATGAAAGAACAATATTAAACTGAAAATGCAGGAATGTAAAACTCTTGACAAACATTACCCTGGGGGGAGCTTTCGAATAGCTAGATATTCTAAATTGTTTACCCGTGCGACCTATGCCAAAATACTTATATTCACGAGTAAACTGAGTTATTAACTTATTTTTCTTTTTACTTGAATCGATAACTGACCTTCAAGGTGCATTAGAATATTTGAGGAAAGTTGTGATCATTTTGTTTTTCAAGAGGTCAGAGATGAAAGATGTCGCCCTAGTTGGATGGAGGTCAAAGGTCAATGTTATCACGTGATGGATGATGAAATCACGTGGTTCGATGGACAGAAGCAATGCAGGGCAATGGGCGGTGATCTCGCTACCATAAATGATCAACAGGCAAACGATGCGATCACAAGTTATCTCGGGCTAAGTAATGTGATCAAATATCCTAAATTATTATTGACAATTCTTTCCCACTAATTTTATTAACAACAATTAAACTACACCCTCTTTTAAGAATTGGAAGCTTCTGTTGACCAAGTCTTGTGGTAATTGGTAGAGCAAGCTGATACGAACAATATTTTGATATTTTAACGTACGGTACGGCTCCAACATGAAAGGTAAAGGTCCGTAGTGGATTTATATTTACTCAATCGAATTGTCTACATAAGGATTCCTTTATGCATGATTTTCAGTCAGAAAAGACGTCTGGATTGGTCTAAATGAGATAAATTTCAAGGGCCAATATGATTGGTCAGACAGTAGTCCTGTTACATTCACAAATTGGAACACAAATGAACCAAATGATAACAAGGGACAGAATGAACAATGCGTTGCAGTGAAATATAAGGTTTGCAAAGTCACTTCATATTCTTACCAAAAATAAACTGATTCGTGAACTATTTGAATATCAATAAGGGTTCCATTTCAAAACAAAAGATATTAAGTAATATGCATTCAAAGTCAAAATAAACAGATTGAAACGAATTTAAGTAAAACAATCATATGACAACCAACCAAACATATGCATACGCGGTCAAAACTTTTCCCTCTTCAGAATGGGAGGTGGTACGATGCTATGTGCGGTGGAAGGTTCAAGAGGTCACTATGTCAGATGTCAAAAGAGGTCATCCCAACACCGTCTTCCCTCCCTGGACATGAAGATTGTCAGCCTGTAAGTTTAAATTTTGAAATCAAACATCGCGACCTCACGTTACCATAGTTACACTGATAGTGGGAGCGATATTACTGTTTCAAAGCTCCTAAAGCTAGTGTTTACTTAAAATACTTATTGTTATAGCAGGTGACTTTTTCACGATATAGTTACACTAAAATAACTTGTTTGTATTTTTGTTGCTTGTTACAATGAGTATGAAATCAAAGCATCACTTTTGTTGTCTATATTTTCGAAAAAAATGAGGACTTGGGGAAAAGTACTAACAGAAAGCAAAGATATACAAATCTAAGCTAATTTGACATTTACTGCAGGGCTATATCGCATATGGCTATTCCTGCTATTCGTTCATTGGGAAAAATGGCTGGATATATAAATGGGCCCAAAGACGTTGTAGCGACCTAGGTGGAACACTTGTTAGAATAAATGATAGGTACGTTTGTTTTGTCTTGGTTCGTAGATCAGGGTCTTTAAAACAAAATGCATCTTTAAAGTACGGTCAAAAGTATGACCAGTTTTTCAGCACCTCCCAATATTCAAATGCCTTCTCACTTTCGGTCCTCTATTATAGATACGAGAGCGCTTTCCTGGCTAGCCAACTTGCCAGTATGGATTCTAAAGTGGAGTTCTGGACCGATGCCAATGACATAGAGACAAAGGGGACCTACGTCTGGAGCAATGGTCATTCATATCTTCCCTATACTCACTGGGCCCCTGGACAGCCAGGTACACCCCCCCCCCAAAAAAAAAAAGATTGGACATACCACTTGAATCCAATATCAAATTCCAATTTTCTCTCCAAAAATGTGTTTTCTTCAACTCGCAGATACGGGTAGTTACAAATGTTTTTTATCAATATGATTTGATTTTTAGATGACACAGATGGCGCCAACTGCGTTACACTTGGGGCTGCCACAAATGCAGCCTTGTGGTATGACCGGAAGTGTGACTCAAGACGAGGCTATATATGCGAGATGATGCGGAGAGGGTACACATCGCCTGCATTGCCTGAGCCAACTGATATCAGTGGCTCTTGTTCATTAGGCTGGATCCAATCAGGAAGCAACTGCTATCAAGTGGGTTGATCTTTTATAGATTTTCAATTTGTTTGCATAGAATGTTTGAGAAGATTTGGAGTTTCCTATTGATATGGTCTCATAGTGCCAGTTATAAAATCAGCTTACCAATGCCGTTTTGTCAAGCTATCTTAATGAATCACAACTTGTACACCTGCGCGTTTAGATATATTTAATACGCGTTATGGCCATGAAAATGCATTCACTTGCTTTTGGTTATCAGTTACATTTCTGTATAGTCTTGTCAAATGCAGCTTCCATTTATTTAAAGTGTTTAATAATTATGATTTAATAAAAATTCAAGGTGAATCAGCGATCAATAACTTTCCAATTAAAATGGACAGACGCGAGAGAGAATTGTCAACAACAGGGTGGGGATCTGGCAAGCTTCCACAATAAAACAGAACACGACACCTTGTTCAAATACGCTATTGCAGGAGAAGCGGACCAACATTTCTGGATTGGACTTAATAATCGGGATTCAAATCAAGGTAGGCCACATTGGTTTAAAGTATCTATGGAAAATATGGTCCCCTATAATAATCGCTGTGTGATGTCCGACAGTTGGCCTTGTTGAGCAGGAATATAATGGAAACTGTAACTTGTAATGCTAATGAAGCCAAACAATGAGGATTATACATAATAAAAAACAACTATCCAATCCATCTTCTGCTACTGAAAAGTTAACATTATCAAACAAATGTAACACTAGTTATGGTTTCAAAAAGTATCCATAACCAGAATCCCAAGACAACTTTAGATTGAATTCGACGCTAAGTAAAAAAGGCAATATAATTGAAAAAGGCAAATCAAAAGTTATGCCAAATATAATTTTATAATAATTGCGCTGCATGGAACATAGAACAAAATTTCAGTTTAAACGTCTCAGTAATATTTTCTGTTAAATGTTGACGAGGCAACAGTTGCCCCGGCTGTTGCCTCGCCTCACACCGGAATAGCCTGACAACGGTAAAGTCAGATACCGTTGTCACAAATGGCTACCATAATAATGAACCATATTTCAACCGTATTTCAACCAGGACATGTTTGGAGTGACGGGTCGCCGGTGCAATACACAAACTGGGCTCCAAATGAACCAAACAATATGAACAACCGGGAAAACTGCGTAGAAATGAAATGGACGGATGGAAAATGGAACGATGAAAATTGCGGAGGGAAAAGAAACTGGATTTGCATGCTTCCAGTTGGTAAGTACAGTCTTGTCTATTCATTCAAAAAACTAGAATTTCTCTACTGATATGATTAAACGTGTTAAAGGGAAATGAAATGACAACTCTGGATCGTTTACTTTGATTTATTGTTACCTGTCACTAACGATAACGTGTTACAATTAAATTAAAAACGAGCCGTTAGCTTACAAGTTGATAGCATTTGTTTAATACCTGTATAAAACTAGTACGTGAATACGGGAATTAATTATTCTTAAGCTTGAGCTCTTAGCTAATTCTAGTCGATTAACGAGAACATCAATATAGCAATGTCATCCCATCTTCTCTGAAAACCGATCATGACTACATTGAAAATTGAAAATGAAGTGCAATTAGCACCTGATATTGTCATTTTCTGAGGGCAAAGAGTTATCATAAATGTTCTCCTTCGTATTCTAGGAACAGACCCTATCAGTTTGGTCACTACTCCAGCGCCCTCTGCCGGACCACGTAAGTAGACATTTCGTTGAAATACAAATGTTTTTCTTTTCTCTTTGCAGTGTCAGATTTCTAATTTGCATCTGAGTTTTTCCAAGTTCCTTCAGTTTTGACGTCGAATATAATGCTCTTTGATTTATTTATTTTATTTTGGGATCGTGATAATGGAGAAAAAAGATCTGAGTGGGAAATTGTTAGACAACAATTCTTTGTATATTAAATCGTTTATACACCTTGGAGTTGTTTCGAAATAAATGTTCATAATGCACTTTATACTTTTTCTCGGCGCTTCTACAATATTTGGGTATTCGAACTTGCGCCTGTGAGTTTGATGACACGAGGCATAATGCAACGAACCAGAGACAGACATGATGAAAGAACGTGTGCTAAAGGCATATGTCCCGTGCATGAATCGAACTCAGGATCTTTAGATCTAAGGTGTCTTGCTCTACAAACTAAGCTAAAGGGTCTTCCGTAGCAACTTGCTCTATGATCGCTACACGCCATTTTCAGCTGGTAGCTGTTCCCCTGACAACGACGACTGGAAGTTATACGGAGGGTCATGCTACTATGTGAGTAAGGGAGGTGACGGTGAGACCATGACATGGAGAAAGGCGGAACAATTCTGTAACAAGAATCAAGCTTATTTGGCCTCAATACATACTGCAGAAGAACAGGCTTTTGTCGCAGGACAGGTTTGCGTGTTACTTACGGGCTTTTCATCCCGTTGGTCTTTTTGCAGCTAATTTTACCATTAATTTTACCTAAAACATCAAAATCGTAAGTGATTCCTTTTTTATTTAAAATACTTGAAAACAGTACATGTAGCTTACATTGAGAGATCCGAGTTTAAACTTGGTGAGCTAATGAAATTTTAACAATTGCTAATTCATATTTAGGTTCGAGCTAACGACGTTGGCACGTTTGGAAGAATGTGGATAGGCTTGAACGAACTAGACCAGGGCAAAGGATACCAGTAAGTTGTAAAACATTTTATTTTTAGCCAAATGAAAGCAATATCTAGGTACTTAAGGTACTGTACTTGTGATTGACAACACGTTTCTACACTTTTATAAAGTTTCAATAAATAAAATAGCATTGTTTTTTAGTCATTTTCGCCAAACATAGCTAGTTTTACTCTGTGTACCCTTTCCCCCATAAATTCCCTTAATTTTGCAGATGGTCAGATGGTTCTGCGCTACAATACACCAACTGGGCGGATAACGAACCGAATGACCAGGATAGGACTGAACTTTGTGTGGATATGTGGATAGCAGATGGTACGTTAGAGTCCATTCAAAAGTTTTCATATTGAAATAAAACGTCACAATATCGATACTCATCACTCATAACGCACCTTTGAAGTGATACGCCAACGTGCATTTATTGTCTCTTATAATATACCCCTCGCCCCCTCGCCATATATACTCTGGATGCCTATTGCCTGATTTATGGTGAAATTATATGAAATAGATGAACTAATTTAGGGAAGTTGAAAAATACTAATGACTAGTTACATCTTGGCAACAGTCTCGTACTTTTTATACAGCTAGCAGGTAGGAGTTTAATCGGCCAAATATCTCTAATTAAATTATACTAAGAAATTGTCAGCATAAAATGTTGCAATTAAAATACTTCTTGTCGTGTGTACTGAATACATACGGAATTTATACTATTTATCTATTTATATATACTTTGTATTTATTTAGTCGAGTCACTATTTATGTAATAAGACCGGTTAAAATGCGATCTGATTGGTTGGGAGAATTAAGCAATTGTTGAAAAAACTATTCATTATAGGAAAATGGAACGACGAACACTGCACCGTTCTTTTACCATTTGTATGTAAGAAACTACCCGGAGGCGCTACAATTCCACCACCAACTAATCCACCTCCGATGTCCGGGAACTGCCCCGCTGGATACAAAACGTTCCGAAACAAGTGCTTCAAACTGTACGGTCGCGATCCAAGCGAGCGTAAAAACTTTGCAGAGGCACAGGCATTCTGTAACGCGCAGGGTTTGACGTATGGTTTAGCATCCATTAGAAATCGTATGGACCAAGGTGTGTTAAGATACATTTTTATATATATCTAGTCACCATACTTTATGTATATCAGATGTCAGAGATTAATGGATAATTGATATTGATTCGTAACACGAAAGGTGTGACTTCACAGAGATTTGATCCATTTGTCTTATAAATAAATGCATCAATAATTACAAACGGCAATAGCTGTGAATTTTGCCTCTTTTGATGGTTTTTTAATGAGTCATACATTTTTCCAGCGTTCATAACAAGTCAGTTAGTTGATATGCCCATAGCAGCATGGATTGGGATGAAATACAGGGGATGGGGGCAAAATGGGGGAGAATTCATATGGCTAGATAATAGCGAGGTCCGCTTTACATGGTGGGATGTCGGTGAGCCGAATGGCAAAGGACAGGTAAATGATAAGTATGGTAATCAAAATTAGCACAGTTCCTAGTCACAATGTTTTGAAACTTCAAAAAAGGTAAAAGATCTTGAACTGTTTCACCACTCGCTGACTAGAAATTATACGATTTAGGTACAGCTATATATAGAGTCGACTAAGAGCCCCGGGCCTGTCCATATACCAAGTTGATGATTTTGAATACCCATCGTCACCATTTCTGAGCCAAAATTAAACCACTATAAATTTGGTTTTAGGAAGCATGCGTGGAGGTCAAGGATGAATCGTTCCATGCTGGGTTCTGGAATGATCTCAACTGTGACGCTAGACAGGGCTGGATCTGTATGACATACAAACGTAAGATTTATTGTGCGGTAGACTGATCTAGTAATCGACTTATATATTAGATACAAAATTCGGTTTCAGTACTCGTAACTCTTTGTCCATATCACTGTTGTAATTTGGTTTTTGACGAAAAGTAGACTTTGTTAAACAAAACCTTTTTTGAAGAACGAAATTATGTATTTATAGACTTTATACAACATGTAAATTGTTGTAATTTGTACTTTGAATAATTTCTGTTGGTATTGTCCATACATTTAGCGATCACGCGGGTCATGATCCGTCAAAATGTGATCTTGATGTACGTTTTCTATAGTAGCCGCGCCAGTGGTACCAATTGTGTATCTTAGCGTCAGTGTGGGTATCTCAACGAATGTGTAAGATGAAGCATTGCAAGGAACACCCCATTTGTTGTTTTACTTCTAGAGGCTACAATTCTAACGCCAGAGCCCCCACCACCGAACAACTGCCCTCTGAACTTCGAGCCATGGGGTAATGGCTGCTATCACGTGTCAACTGGCAAAAGAAATTGGGATGAATCGGACGCATATTGTAAAGGACTTGGTTAGTAAAATTCCGTCATAATGGTATATATACGAGATAGGGAGTTTGCATAACCAGAGCTACTAGAAATCTGCGCTACAGAATGCAAAATTCCAACACTTTCGTGACTCACACTAGGTATTCCTTACAAAGAAATCTAAAAAAAGAAGAATTTTCTGTTTAAATTGCTACAAAAGTGAGCTACAAATGATTCAAACAATGCTAGGTAAACGTTTAGTTCAATGTATGTTCTCAAGTATGAATTTCGCAAAATTCCGCAAAAAATCAACAGAAATTCAATATTCTGCAAATTTTTGCAAAACTAAAAATTCTGCACTTTTTCTGCTGCGGCGCAGAAAAACGAATTCTAGTAGCCCTGCATAGTCAACGAATGGTCCAATCAGGAACTGCATGCGTCCAAAATAAGTTAAAAAAAGTTTTATATTTCTCATAGATTCACTTATGAAATCTCTCAGACTAGTTGTGTAACAGGGGCCGTCCTAAATCCTCACTGTCTATAGATGTGTAAGACCAATTCTGTTGATATCTTTTATGTACTTAAGCATAGTAGTATATTTTTTGTAATAATTACTGTGTACCTTTATCTGTAGCTCCGGGTGCACAACTCGCTTCAACGACAAGTCTCTACGAACATGCTTATCTTTTCACTTTGATAAACCGCTGGGGTCAACGAGGAAACGCTTGGATTGGACTTAATGACAAAATGGTAGTTTTTTGGCTTTGATAAAAGGCAAAATGGTTAAATTACTAAATCCTAAGACATTCCGAATAGTGATTCAGTTATAATCACAATATGAGAAGTTACAGTAGTTAAGCGAGTTTATAGAATCTCAAAATGATACGCCTTTTTGGAAAAAGCCTAGTTTTTCATGACTTAAACGTAAAACAACATGAATTCACAAAACATATCATGTAGTGCTGATTCACTTAACTCAGGAATGGATTTTTTCACATGAACGTCGTTGACGTTGGATTTAATTTTAAAATTCAAACGGTGTATTCACTCAGTCATCTGTTACTATTACAATCGTCATGTAGGTGACAGGCCAATACGTGTGGACCGATAATTGGCCAGTCGTGTTTACATTCTGGGGCAAGAACGAACCCCAAGACACCGGAAGATGCATAATGATGAGGAACCGAAACTCAAGATGGAAGGCAAAGCCCTGTACAAATAATTTTGGGGCCGTGTGCAAAGTTACAACAGGTAGAATTTTTAGACGACGTTTCAAAATATTTTAGATACTTATCTTTATAAATGTAAAACGTCTTATTGGCTTTTCGCTCGATGACTCACAAAATCAGCAAAACACGTCCTTGGTATCGTATATTTGTATGGCCGCGTTCCTAGTGAATTGCGTAATGTCTTAAATGAGTTTTCTCCCCAGGTATCACACACTTAAAAAGAACAATAAACCCCGCAGGGCTCATTACATGCTCATGTGTTTTTAACAAAAAAGCTCATTCAAACGCAAAAACACACCATATAATTTTTATAAAGACATCACGGTTTATATTTAAGTGCTCTTGGATGAACTGCTTTTGTTTGCAAAGCATGGGCTTATTTTTTCTTGATACGTGATACCTAGGAGGAATAATCATTATATATTATGCAATGCACTCGCGCGTGGACAGTTCAAATAACGCAGCCTAAATCTACCATTGCCGTGGTCACATTTGTCAGACCGGGGCTCAGATGGTGTTTTTTATTCAAAACTATATGCAATTTTGAAAGAAATTCTCGTCGGAGCGAAAGTAGCAACGCCATGAACAGAAGCATGGTCAGAATCTTCACAAATCATTTAGTAGGCATTCACGCTTCTTTTCTCTGGATAACAAAGATGGTTCACAGTAGGGCATTTTCATTCTTCTATCCAGAGATATGTATTCAATAAAATCCGGAACAAAATTGAAATTACTTTTAGATTACCATGCTAAACTTATTGAATAATCGTATAACTATGTTTTCCGTTTCAGAAAAACCTCCATACATCCCCCCTCCTCCTGATGGTTCTTGTCCCGATGACGAAACAAACTCACAATGGTTCTCATTCCGTGGAAACTGTTACCTTTTCAAGCAGACAGAGTCCAAAAATTTCGCTGAAGCGGATTTCGAATGTCACCAATTGGGGGCTAAACTAGTGACTATACATAGTCAGGATGAAAGTGTGTTCCTGAACGCTCATATGCTACACGTTTCAAGCCAAAACGTATGGATCGGCATGTTCAGATCAATAAATGGTATTCTTCCTTTTTTATTATCAGAAAAGTATATCGTTTGAAAGGAAAGATTGTCAGTAAGAGCTCTGTCAATTAATCTATATTAGCATTCGCAAATTTAACTGCTTGTTAAGAATTGTTGACTTTGATTTAAGGATTTAAACCCCAAACTCGGTCCATTGTTGACTGAATCATTCCTCCAAGGTGTTGTTTCAAACTTTGCATGAGATACAAAGCACCGAGTGCTAATTTTAGGAAATAACGCTTGTCCGGATTGTGTACAATCTCCCTGTGAATATTAACTTTTCTTTTTTTCATAGTTTAAAAATTGAGAAATTGAGCCACTTCATTCTCAAACAGAACTAATTTCTTTACTTTGAATTGCAACTGCTGCATTTTGATGTGTATCCGTCTACCTTTTGATTAAATATAAGAGTCGGGGATAAGATAAGGATAAGAGGTGAGGGGAAGAATAGGACAACCACATTGCCAGCCAATTTGAGATTTTGAAAATTGATGTAATCTAAGTATGACCTTGGATGAATGGTTGGTCACATAATGCAATCAGCGGCCAACTTCGACAGAATTATATAGAAACGCACCAACCAAGGCGTTGTTACAATATTGCATTTACTGATAATATATTATATAGCTTTAATTTAATGTACACAGGGAGATATGTAAATACTAGTACTAAATGAGCACTTGTGACAGACATGAGTACTGCATGTTTTAGTACTAATTGAGTACTCATATGATGAGTGATAGAATAGCATTGCGCTAAATACTAAATTTGCTAATTTAGTACTACTTTTGTACTACTTGGGCAATCAGCATATCTCCCCTGTGTAATGTTTAGTCTCGCCTATGTTTGTGTTAAATATAAATAATTTCCAACATACAATTTGTTCACTAGAATAGATTAATTCTAATTTGAAAGTAGAATATTTTCGCTTTTAAAGATGGATTCCAATGGAAAGATAATTCCCCAGTCCAGTACACAAACTGGGCAAATGGCGAACCTAGTGACGTCAATGGTACGGAGGAAGAAAATTGCGTTGAGGCATACGCACTTAATGGGAAATGGAACGATAACATCTGCACTGCTAAACGTGGATACGTCTGCATGAGGGAATCGGGTACTGAATTAAAAGAATAAGATAAAATAAATGCAATGTAAATGTGTGTAAATTCGCTCATAGCAAATCCACATATCAACATCTGTGGAACATCGAACAGATACTAACATCTCGTTTCTTTGAATCTTTCTGGAGATGCTTAATTCATATTTCAGAATTATCAACAGTCGCCCCTTTTCATGATTAAAGGCAGAATCTGATCTATAGGGGGTGACAAATTTACAAGCAACATGTAATATTGACCTACCGATCTATTCCTTACAATATCAAAAACAGTATCTTCCAAACGATTCACAATATGTTATAAATTGGGGAAGTTATTAATGATTCAAAGTGCAAAAAATGAGTAAAAAATGTTTAAATTCTCCCAAATAATAAGAATGGTAACCATTCTTATAGAAAAATAATAATACATTATTGTAAACATCTTTAGTTTTCCTGGAATAAAGTTTGCACTTTTGTGATTTTTAGAAAATAGACATGACAAGGAATAGTGGGCTGTATAGCAAGGTTGGTCGGGGTCGGGAGCTGGGGATAATTTTATTGCTTAAATATAACCATATCATCATCCTACATTTGAATCCACTCAGTCTAACATCAATTTCTGGTGCGAAAGTTGTCATTTTTGAGTTTTACCCCCCTTGACGACAAATTCTTGGGGGTACTATGACAAATGCTTATAACTAAAGAAGTATTTATTTGATCATCTTCATTTTTGGCATTGGTAATGAAAAGGTATGTAAAAGTAAAATTTGAAAAATTCATACAAATCAGGTGATTAATCCATTCTAAAGATAATAATTCAGGTATTTTCAAGGGTCAATTTCAACATTTTCTGAATGTCGCCATGAAGTAAAAATGACATTATGACCCAATGACATATTTATTGAATGATCTTAGGCTTTAGAAAATAATTTGACTATATAAGCTAAAATAATAACATGAGATTGTACCATATTGATAATTCTTCATCGCCATCCAGGCACAAATAAACTTCCCCTTCCCCCATGTTCGAATATAAAGGTCTATACCTGAAACTTCCTCAAATAGCTATATTTCAGAAACTATTACAGCCTACATTCCAAAATTTCTCATGGTGATTATACACATCATACTTTGCATAAAAGACATATATTTGAGTTTTATCCATTCTATATCTAATAATTAAGGTATTTTCAAGGTTCAATTTCAGCATTTTCGGAATGTCGCCATGAAGTAAAAATTACATGACCCAATGACATATTTATTAATTGTTTTTAGACTTTAGAAATTAATTTGACTATATAAGCTAAGATAATAACATAAGAATTGTACAATATTGATAATTCTTCATCGCCATCCAGGGATAAATACCCCCCCCCCCCCCCATTTGCGAAAAGAAAGGTTTTTACCTGAAACTTTCTCAAATAGCTATATTTCAGAAACTATTACAGCCTCCATTCCAAAATTTCTCATGTTGATTATACACATCAAAATCTGCATATTATACATATAATTGAAGTTTTAACACTTTTTTGAGGGTGTAGCTAATAACAATAGTATATTTATTAGACATCTTAGAAATCAAAATATATGTTTTAGAAGGTTGTCACAACACTACAAGAGAGATTCTTTGGATTGTCATCATTTTTGAAAATATTACAAAAACATATTCATATTATGCAATAATCACCTATTTTAATTTGACATAATTGAAATATATTATCCACCTAGTTTTAATGATTTCAGTATATGCATTTAATCCTGAGATGTACATAGGTTTGATATCCATAAAGTGATCATTTCTTTTTTGTTTGTAATTTAGCTTCTAAGCATAAAACTATAAGCATTAAATCTGTATGCTTTAGGATATACGTAATCAATAGCGATGACTAAACATTCAATTGACAACATTTAGTCAATATGCTTGACAACATTCAATAATGATTAATATGTTCGACCAATATGTTTTGAATAACTTCACCAATACATTTTGCTTGAGTATTCAATTCAACATTTACTTCAAGCAGTTGAACATTGTTAGTTATCAACATCACCTGAACATATTTCATCTATGAAATTGTTGACTTCATTATCTGTCATATCATTATCAATTTTGTCATCTGATTCTTCGTTATAAATGTCTACCAACTCTTATGGAAGAATGGCATTCGGATTTTCAGCCCATTGTATATCAAGTTCGCCATTTTCTAGGATCCATCCATTTTCTGCTGGAGAAGGTATATCCATTTGGGGTTTGTGAGACTGCTTCCATATGTAAGCCTGGTAGTTACATCTTTTACAATGTTGAACAAGGGATGACCTGCATGGAGGATGGAGACTGATGTCTATCCCATCATAGTTGTTGATAGAGGCTTGAGGTTGAAATCTGTTTGCAAAATTTATGTATCGTACATGATTGATGTCTGTTTTTTCTTTTCCCCGTACATGATGCACACAAATCTTTCGAGTTCTTGAAGATGCCTTGGTCAAGAACTATAGATTTTCCAAGTTCTTGAAAGATTGCATGCATGTCCTCCCTCTTGATCAGCTGTTTCAGAAGGTTTATTTTTCCCTTTCTCATGAAGGCACTGGTGGTATCACACCCTGTAAAACAGTGGATACCGATCAGAGTGGCTGTGATTGGACCACCCAAACCTGCTACATCTGTCTTCACATCGATGAGGCGCCTCTTGTTTGAAACTCCAGTGTCAAACAGTACTTTGAGAAATAGGTGTTTGATGTAATGTAGCAGGAGTATGGGTACATCTGCATCATGTGTGTTTGAAGATGATCAAATAAATATTTCTTTAGTTATAAGCATTTGTCATAGTACCCCCAATAATTTGTCGTCAAGGGGGGTAAAACTCAAAAATGACAACTTTCGCACCAGAAATTGATGTTAGACTGAGTGGATTCTAATGTAGGATGATGATATGGTTATATTTAAGCAATAAAATTATCCCCAGCTCCCGACCCCGACCAACCTTGCTATACAGCCCACTAGAATGACATGGGCAAAAACTATTATAAAATTGAAGCAATTTTTTATTTGGCCTGTTCGCTATATCTGATTCTCTCTTTCATTTCCACATTTATATATGTTCCACAAGCTCTGCAAGATTGGTTTATGTCATGATCATGTTTCATGTTTCAGTCATGGTGTCTCCGGGGACTCCCCCTTACACTGGAATATATACTCGGCCTACCGGCAAACAAACAACAACAAAAAATATCCCTCGCTTTACTACCCCTAAACCGTGGACATGGGCACCTACTACAACCAGGGGATTCATATGGACGTTCACGTGGACACCTCCCATGGGTGTTTCTACCCCGCTCCCGAGAAAACGTAAATATATACTTAATATGAAATATTTGAATATTTTATATCTATAGAATATAGAAATTAATTCTCGTGTACATAGCTGAGCTAAGCTTATAAGTAATGATTGATTTATATGTATTTTTAAACAGAGGCGCCATCTATCAACGGCGGTGGAATAGCTGGAATAGTGATCGCAGTCCTGGTTGTATTGGTCGTAATAGTCCTTATCGTCTTATATATGAGACGAAGAAACGCTAAAGGATCTGCCCCTCATGAAAGTTTTGATAACCCTGCATATTCTGCGAACACTGATAGGGTACAAGTTGCAGGAGACTGGATGGCGTCGCCTCAAACGAACGCCTAAATTTGCCTCATTGCAAAATCAAAAATAAAGACAGCCGTCAACTCTTGAATGTCACGAGATACATTTATTTTGGAATAACTATTTCAATAGTTTGTTAATGATTGGTTATAACAAAACAAAAGCGTTAACATGTAATAAAGGAATAGCATGATGTCATGTATTGGTAAAAATTAAAGAATGGCGTTGTTCCCTTTGTGATCATCACACTGCTCACGTATGATGCATTATCAATCTGAATTTACGATGAATAGTTTGATAATAGTTTAGTTTTTTAGTTTAGTTTAAAATAGTTTATTTTTGTGTCACTGACATTACAATATACATATAAAATACATAATAAAAACAACATTTTGTAACATCACCAGCCGGTGCCGACTTATGAGACACAGTATACATTATATCTGAGTGTCACCCATTACTACCCCCAATGGGCAGCTTGGGTCAACACTCATAAAGACAGAGACAAAAAAATGTCCCTGGTAAAAATTTATACATGATTAATAACCAATGATATAAATTCAGTCTGTTTGGCATAAATAAATAAGCAGTTCATGGAATGATATTGTCAATCATTATATTAAATACATATATTGCACTAAATGAGAGTAGCATGTTGCATATGGTCAAAAATTACAATAAATACAAATATCGCACTAAATGTAAATTGTATCATGCATATGGTCGAAGACTGTTATAACAATAAATTCATATATTGCACTTAATGTAAGTAGCATGTTGCACTATGGTCAAATATTACAATAAATATAAACATTGCACTAAATGTGAAATACACAATGCACAATCACGCGATGATAAGAATGACGTGCTTGTGAAAAGATGAAGCGGGAGAACAAAGGAGTGTATATGTAATGGAAAATGATCTTTAAACATGAGTATTTTCTCACTTAAAATACTACATTTCTCATCAACATAGCATTGTGTATACATGTATTCCGCCAAGTAAAACAATTGATAAGCTTTTTTCAGACTGAAATAAGTGACTTTGACGTTGTTATCGGATAGTTTTGCGAGCTGTTTTTAATTTAACAATACTCGCATAATATGTAACCAATCTCTTTCATATTCATAGGACTTGCGTGCGATAGCATATGATTCATCGATAAAAATGTTTAAATATTTCAGCTTATCGATTGCTGAAAAATACTTGTCAAAAAACTTCTTTCAAACTGAAATGGGTGACTTTTCCATTGATATTGAATATATCTGCATGCTGTTTTTAATTTGACAATCCTGGCGTGATATGTAAGTGATTTATTTCATAGTTATATCACTAGCTAATAATACCCTATAATTCCCCGTATCTCAAAGAATTTAGCTTATCTATTGCTGACAAAATACTTGTCACACAATATTCGACTTTGTCAAAGTATTTGCAATATCAAATGTAGTATAATTAAATAATAATGCGAAAATAATGTCATTGGTGAATGTCGACAACAATATGTTGCCGACGTGACAAAATGGTAACTACAACATTTTGGGAATGTTTTTTTAAGCGGAAACGTCAGAATATTTACCCATTAATACAATCCTCCAATTGTTACTTCATTAGAAAGAAAAATTTGGCAATGTTTTATTGAAAATAAATTTGACAAGCACTACCACATGTGATAAAATACACTAATTATTTATCTTTATATATCACGAAAAATTACCCTCTCGACTTTTGCTCTCTAATAGTTATCTATTCAATTCTGTAATTATGTTTCGTTTAATTCTCACGTTTGCAATACCATTGCATGCTACTTTGACTTTCAAACATAGTTTTTTTGTACCCTGTTAGCATACAATGCAAAATTAATGTACTCGGTTCACCAGTCTATCTGGTTTATATCTAAATCTAACATTAAATCTGGGAAATTACTTAAACTAAGACACTTAGCAGGGAAAGCAAACTCTAAGTGTAAACCTGTGACAATCATTAGAGAAATAGACCCAAAACCGGGACCCAAACCAGGATAAAACACAAACATAAATAATACATGTACAGGGTGGGCCAAAAAACGCCACTTATTTCAAAATGCTATAACTTTTTTTAATTTTTGATACAAAATCATAATTTGCATATCAAATGAAACTTGAGGTTGTTATCTAGCCATGCATCATGAAATATGCACTTTTACTTGAAAAAAATATGTCATGAGCGTCTCACTGAAACATGTGGTGTTCCATAAGAAATAAGCATAATTTGCAAAATGTTCCTGAACTGATACGGCCTGATGATCGCCAAGCTTATAGCCCTGATGCAAACAACAGTGAGTATAGAGTATGGAAAAGTCTCCAGGAGATTGTATGAAGGCACCCAATCTAAAAGATTGCTCAACTAAAGCTGGCAATCAAGACAGGTTGAAAAAAATTGAGCTAACATTTCATTAGTACTGCTATATCAGCAAGGCGACTAAAACTAAAATCTATCATCAAATAGGGTGGCGGATCAATTGAACTCCTCTTTTAGATCAAATATAATCCAAGTCGAAGGACTTGTTACGTTATATTATTACTAAGAATCCCTGGCACTACATAACTGCAAAATTTGGGGTATGTAGGTTGGTAATTAAAAAGGTTATAGTGTTTTGAAAGAAAAGTGGCGTTTTTTTGGCCCACCCTGTATTTAACTCCCTATTACCCCCTCTTATCGAGACCCAGTATCGCAATCCAATACCCATTATTAGCATCTGTTAAGAATAGCACCTGCAATACACTTTTTAAAATGTTGTTACACCACATACCCTTTATGATTTTTTGGGGTATGGCAATGTTAAGTTAAAAATATATTACTAATTAATATGTTAATAATATTATGATGTCATGTCACATTTTAGTGTGATTTATCTAGAACAAAGCAAATCTTGTATTCGCAAATGCAACCAACGTCTGTCTGCTACCGGATTGACCTACTATTTATGGCCAACTCATTTATATATGGATGGAGTAGTGACAGGTACTATTCATATTCAAATACTAGTACTTGGCACTTTGATCTGATTTGGGCACTATTTTTCAAAATTTGGCCAACTTTTTTTCGCGAACATTTGTGCCCCTTTCCCTCTGTTTTTTATGATCGTCCTTTGTGTTTTGTTAAACATAGCCCTAGGAGGGGCCCGGAAAGAATTGTTGGCCCAAACATATTGTAGGGCCTCTTTAGTGGGCCTTTTTGGGCATTACTTGACCTTTTGGGCCTTACTTTTTCAATTTCAGGGCAAATTTTAAAAACGGACTATAAATTTTCAATATTATTAGCCCCAATTTTGGTTTTAGGGCCCTAAAATATATTACGTGGGGCCCTAGGATGGGCCCAGAAAAAATGTTGGGCCAAAAATATTGTAGGGCCTCTTTAGTTGGCCTTTACTTGACCTTTTTACTTGACCTTTTTGGGCCTTCAAGTTTAGGCCAAATTTTCAAAACGGGCCATGCATTTTCTAAATGTTGATTCTAGGGCCCTAAAAGGTTTTCCGCGCAGCAAAAGGATGGGCCCAGAAATAAATATTGTAGGGCCTCTTTATTGGGCCTTTTTGGACATTACTTGACCTTTTTGGGCCTTATTTTTTCAATTTTAGGAACGGGCCATGAATTTTCAGAATTTTGGCCCAAATTTTGGTTTTAGGGCCCTAGAAAATGTTTTCTGCGCTGCCCTAGGATCGGCCCAGAAAACATGTTGGCCCAAAAGTATTGTAGGACCTCTTTAGTGGTCCTTTTTGGACCTTATTTTTTCGATGTTAGGCCAAATTTTCAAAAAACGTGCCATAGATTTTCTAATTGTTGGTCCAAATTTTGGTTTTAGGGCCCTAAAACGTTTTTCCGTGCAAGCGCGGACATTTTTTCCTGACTTAAAATATGGGTCCCCCCTTGTTAACTTTCGATCCGCCACTGTCCTTTACAATACAAAGGGGCTTGGTTTAGCATTAGCATGGGGAATTCTTTTTTTTGGGGGGGGGGGGTTGCGGGGGGTTCGATCCCCCCCCCCCCTTACAAAAAGCTGGCTACGGGCATGCTTTAATGCACATTTTAATAATATTGATCAACTATTTGAAGGGATTGTAAAACATGAGAGATGAAGTATTTTATAACATGAGAGTTGAAGCATTGTATAACGTGAGAGATGAAATATTAAACCATGTCGTTCAATAAGTTCATGCAAAACATTTTTATTTTTTATTTTTCTCAAAACTTTCACAAATTATAGAAAAAATACTTACTCAGTGAAAATCAAAAAATAAATCACCCTGTTTTGATTGGTCAAAAGTTATTGTTGCTATGGTAACCCGTGTTTGATCACGCAGGGCAATTTATGACGTGAAAAAGTTTAATTCTAATTGAATTATTGTGATTTATTTGTTGCATATTAGGTACACTCGTGTCTTTTCAAATTGAAGTTCCTATCAAGCGTGTCACTTCATTAAATGCATAGTTCATGGCACTTCACCCATTCTTCGTATTGAGCCACAAGGGAAAAACACAAGGGAATTTAGTGCGCCACCTTAATTGAGCTCTTTAAAAGAAACGGCCTAAAATTAATTACGCCCTCCTCCAAGCTATTTCACCAAGACAATGCCCCATGTCATTGAGCAAATATGGTTCAGGATTATCGATATCATCCGAGATACCCTACAGATGGAGATTTTAGACCAGGGTGCATATTCCCCTGGTGAGGGGTGTTCAATGGGATGAAAGATGAACTGAGAGATGTTCGTTATGCAAGCATGAAAGGGTTAACTGCAGCTGTGCAGAGTGCAATGCGCACTAAATTCCCTTGTTGCTTTAAGGCTCAATACGAAGAATGGGTGAAGCGCCAGGAATTATGCATCCAGTAGTAGTAGAGATTTTGGTCCCATGAGCTCAGGCTGGTCACGGCTGGTCACCTAAAACCGGAAGTCAGCCATTTTGAAGCTTTCTGACAGGAAGTCAGCCATTTTGAATCTGTCTGGGCAAGAGTGTGACATCATAGCGGAAGTGAGGCAACACTGACAGGAAGTCAGCCATTTTGAATCTGTCTGGACAAGAGGGTGACATCATAGCGGAAGTGAGGCATCTTTTAATCGGCCTGGGCAGGTTTTAAAACGGAAGTTAGCCATCTTTTATTCGGTCGTCTGAACAGGTTAATGATATCATAGAGGAAGTTCAGCCATTTTAACTGTGTCTGGGCAAGTGGATCAT